AAGTTTAATCGAAATCGGTGAACTTCATCATATAGCTCTGATAGAAGTTATTGTTACAACAATGTTTATATTAAATTAATATATAATGTACACATTAATAATACTTGCTACCATTTAAGTTAAGCATCATCTAGGACAGTTACACAAAAGTGGGCTTATAAAAAATACAATTAGCTAAAGCAAGATGTAGCTGGTACTCCTAAAACTGCTTGCTTAGTCAAAGCGTAATTACTTCAACTTATACCTGCTGCTTTCTGCTTGGTTATTAACATCTGAAAGGTTATTGGGAAATGTTTGTACCACAACTACATCACTATTTTCTTAGCAATTTAATTTAGAATTTCTGTTTAGTGCAAAACTGAACCGTTGTTTCTGCCTTGTTCGGTTTAATGAAAGGAATTCTTGTGCTGAAAATAACAATAAGTAAATAAAGCTTGTCAAGGCCTTTTGCGTCATCCTATCCAGTCTATTCACTCATATTTTGAGCACAATTAATTTTTCTATGTATAATTGTTATCTCGCAGCTCAAGTTTTAAGAGTTTATGTGAACGTCATAAAGCTTATCAAGCATTTCGACTGACTAAGTCGCAGGTGGAACAGTCTGGTAACAGTTGCTAAAATGTCAGACAATCTTGAAATTTTATAGGTTTATGTACATACACACATACATACATACATACTTATATATCGACAGGCAATTAAAATATGTCACCAATTGCCAGCATTAAACCAGGAATGCAAATTACTTCGCCGCCATAAAAAAGATATAGCAATTTGTATTTTTACGATCCCAGCCACAGAATGCATTGAGTTAATTGAACTTTGACTGAACGAAAATCCGATGCAGTTCAAGGATGCTGCGCACTGAGAGTGCCAGACTCAGGCAACCATCAAATAATGGTTGGCTGCTCGAAAAGTGCAAAAGTCAGGCATTAAATTAACGCCAATGGAATTGACAGCGCCTTGGGCCAGCGAAAAATATTATAGTTGAAGCTTATCAGCAGCCCAGTCCCAACTCTAGTGGAGGACTGTGGTCATATAAATATTGTGACAATCATGTCTGTCGCCACTATCAACAAGTCGGAGAACCATAGTTGACAAGTCATGTACTAAATTATTCCATTTGTCAGTTTGTCAGTTTATCACAAACTGCATTTGGTGGCGGGCACTTGCTTGGTCTTAAAATATTATTTTGTTATTTGCTGAACATTTTTTATTAACTTGAATTTATGACGACATACTCGTATATTTCTTATGCGAGGAATGGCTGCTATTTGTATCTCTCATTGTTGTTGCTATTAAACGTTCCCAATGGAGGGGACGGGACATCGGCAAGTGGGTTAGACAAGCGCGTCAGACATCTCATTCTCTCTCTAAATATAAATATCGTTTGCACATTCTTCTATTTTTTTTTTTTATAAAAAACTTGGTGTCTCTGGCGCCTAAACTCATTTAAAATGCAGCTAAAGCAGAGCAACAAATAATGATAATATAATAACATTACTCATACGCAAGGTTAACCACTTGTTTGTGATAGACGAAGTAGACGCAGCTGCGACCGCTCCTGGTCGACGCACTGCAGCTTCTCCCAATTTATTACACCGGCGCTGTGACCTCAAAGTGCCAGCAATTGTTGTGCGAAAAAATATGTATTCGCAAGCATATGAGCGCTTGTTGTCGACATTAAAAAACATGTAATAATTCAAAGACTGTCTAGACTCTAGACTTTTACACAAAGTCGAAGAAAATTAGAGGAACGTTGCATTGTTTACTTTGGGCCGCCATTCCTTTTTGAATCGTTAAATGGCACAAATTTTCGATTTTACACAATTTCTGCTAGAGAAAAGAGAACTTTACGATCGTAAACAGCAGCATTTATTGACGCAATCGATTTATTTTTGTTTCTTCTTCTTCTTGTTCTTCTCAAAATTCTCACAAATTTACTATAGCATGGGTTAATGCGCCTTTTGCTTTGATACGCATTTAGAACAACACAATCATATATACATTTGTATATAGGAAAACATATATTTACATGCGAGCAATAAACACGCTGGCCGTAAAATTGCGTTCATTAAATAAAACCCAGATATTACGGAAAATTCTAATTACAAAAATTCTCAGCCATAAAAACCTGACCAATCGATCTTTGAGAAAACTCAATCAAAACAAATCCCAATTATAAATCTTTGTTTGTTCATATTTTAGAAACATCAGATCTGATGTATCGACAATTTATGGCACATTTATTGCAAGTATTATTGCAAAAAAAATAAATCATTACCCGTCATAACCGCGCAGGAAAATTTTTGTTATGCCCGCCAATGGAAATCCTATTGACGAATGGCTTATTTGTCAGTTCAGCAAGTGCTTAAAGACAACAAAACATCCCGCCAAACAAAAACACAACAAAAATTGTTTTAAAATAATATACAAATGCTCGCTGTTGAGCTGCTTACTCGTCCATATGTAAAATTGGAAACGTGTGTGATAATTATAGGCATTCAAAGCTATATACATATAGTATGTATACATATGTATACCACGAGTAGGTATGGTGGTATAAGAGTAGGCTAAAATGAATGATGCCGACGTGTGTGGCATTATTGATGTGTATAGCGCGCCTAGTGGTTCCAAAATGCAGAGAAAGGCGAAGATATGAGAGTGTTGGTTATTACTGGATTTGGAGACCTTATTAGGTTTTACCAACATTTATCGATGAATTACTCCTTTACATTATGGCATTTGTATAAAATTTGGATTTATGAAGGTAGTTCTCCATTTTGTTAAGAATTGCAGTGTAGAGATAGAATCCACAATATTTCGTTGTGCATGCATACAATAAGGAAAAAGTACAGCCGAAATACTGCAGGCTAAATACAATTTAGAATGCATACATCCTTATAATTCATTAAGCGACTTCAGCGGCTTTGAAATATTTTTTGACTTATTTAAGCGCCGGTAAAGTTGATTGAAATTCCCAGACATATTTTTCATAAAGATGCAAATTTTGTGATGAATATCAGCAAGTAACAAAGACTACTATGTCAAATTCCTTACTACAAAGCAGCCGTGAATATCGATTGAAATATTATCTAGCAAGTGCAACATCCTGACAAATCTAATAAAAGTGTATTATGTGTCATCAGGGAATATAAAAATATTTTCCCATGCAAATGGAATTGAATTCAAAAACATCAACAAAGAATAGAAAGGGCACACTTAAATCAAATTTGTGAAACGCTCGCGCTCTTCCTCCACCTTCATATCACAGCAGACAGTGCTGCCATCTGTTTTACATTGCCATTCTGTGTTGTTATTGTTGTGCCATGCTGTGCACATGGCGTGGAAAAGCGCCGTATTGAAAGCTTTTCGTATTGCTGTATCGCTTGCATTGCAAACAAAATCAGCTGTGCGGAGAGCTTTACAAATGCGCAGTTCAACATACATACATATGTACATATATAAGCAAACGTTTTACTTTGTAGTTTGCATGAGCGAGAGTGTGTGTGTGTAATGTGAGTTTCAATGTAGAAATCATGTGTACGTGAGCGCCATAATGATGCAGCAGCAAACAATAACGACAACAAAGCCCAGCTGTGTGTTGTAAAATTACTGAGAGCTTCGAAATTTGTGCGCTCTCCGTCACTCTCACTCTCTTGCCTACCCTTTTCGTTTTCGCTTATTGCGCACCTCCTAATAGAAGAACCCGAAGGGTAAAATATTAATATTAGATTTGTGCAAAAGTATGTAACAGGCAAATGGCATGTACATGCATATGTGCATATTCGTGATCAGCATGAGGAGACCAACGATCCAGCAAGATGCGACCATCCGCGACGATCGCCAAATTTGATATGAAGACTCTAATATTCCGCCAGTACAAACACCATTCCAAAGCTAGCTGTAACAAACATTTTTGGTATACATACATATGTACATATTTTTGTAATAATGAATAAAATACTTTATCATTTTTAATTATTTTATTTTTATTGCTTAAATTTCATCCGAATCCGAAATGCAACAACAGCGAGAGTTTGCTTTGCGTACAGAGTATTTCACTGTCGTGAACAGTTACAAATATTTGACAAGCAATTTAAATAAAGATACTAAAATGATTAAAAAAAAAGTCCCACTTGCTCAATAAAAACCCCTACTAGGGTTTTTCAGTTCGTGCCCGCCCGTCGCCATGGGTTACACTTAGCGAGTACCTACTGTGCCATGACCGATGACTTCATAACTGGTTTTCCCTACGAAACTGCGCAAGCTAACGGTGGCGTATTCAGCTACCTGTACATTAAATTTAAATGCTGGGCGCCTTTCCTTTTTTATTTTCTACGCAGGTATTTCAGGTTTATTTATGTATTTCAAATGTTATGCTAGGGTCGGTGCCAAGTGGCAAGGTCATTGCAGCTTGTTGCTGTAACACACATACAACTTTTGTACAATATTTTATTATACGTCTAATATTCTATTTTAAAATGTGCCAGAAACCTCAAAAAACGAAAGCAACATGTATGCTTCTCACAGTTTTAGCTTTAACATTTCGTAATGATTACACTTATTTTTGGCTGCAAGGTCGCTTAATGGTGGCAAGTGCCGTTAACATTACAACCAGCGCCCGAATACTGAGAAATTCAGCTTTATCTGAGCATTATATGAATGTGTTTACTAAGTGAAAAAATAAAACAAACAATTAGATTCATTATTAAGCCAAATTTGGCATTGGGTTTTAAAAAAAATAAATATGTAAAAATGTTGAATTTTTCAGCAGATAACAACCACAAAACTATTATTTTATGTTCAAATATTAAGCAATCTATGTGCGAAACGTCAGCTAAGTAGCCTAAAAAATCAGTAGAAAGAACAAAATTGACTTAGTCTGGCCTTTTCTAAATTTTCAGATAAGTTCTTATCTGATTGCACTTAGTGCAAAATAAATGTCAATAGTCATAAACACATTAGATCAGATGAGAACTTATCGATAAGTGTAGTGCGCGTTACAAAAAAAAAAAAACAGCAAACAGAAAAATAAAATAAAACAAAGCGCCCAATTTCAGCAAAAGATTGCATCCGCTCCTGTGCGCATGACGGCGACCTACACTTAAAAGCACGCGCGCACATACACAGACACACACCGAGAGACACACGACACAGAGGCAGACAGCTAAAGCACCAGCCAGCGGACAACCAAACAGGCCAGAATCGGAATATACACACACTGCGAGTTCTCAGTGTTTAGTTGAGCGTTTGGTTACGTTGCGAGCGGACGAAACGTGTGGCACGGAGTTCAACAATCAACAACAACCACCAGCACCACCAACAACAGCACCATCGCGGGCAGCTGGAAAATAAAGAAACGAAGCAGCACAACAAAAACGCTAAACAATAATAACAAAGCAGAAAAGTGTGCGCACTGCTGACCAGTGCAAGAAAAGCTAAGCTTTTGGCCTGGCTTTTGTTTTTGTTCCGACGAGTTCGCAAACGCCATTGACGTCCGAATTATTACCACACTCCACTCTATCGACACACAAGCGACGCATTTGTGTTTTGTTTTTTATTTCATTTCTTTGTTCGAGCAGACACCACAATGATGATTTGATTTCAACTGAACAGCAATAAAATATCGGCAGCGAGAAAAAAGTTAATTTAGTGCGCAATTACAACAGCAACAATAATAACAACGACGGAAACGAGTTAGAGGCAGTTTTTGAACGCGACTTCAACTAAATGCAACTGCGCAAAACAACGAACAAATAGAAGCAACGACAACAAAGGTAGAGAACTACAAAATTGCATCACTCTGCTGTAAAATTTACATAGCTACCGTGCAAGCAACAACAAGCACTTGAAAAGTTTAGCTATAGTTGTTGGAAAATAGCGAAAACTATGTAAAAATTTCCAAGCAAACAACACACAAAAATCAATACGCATAGTGTGAGGGAAGGGAAATCGAGAGAGAGAGAGAGAGAAGTGAAGGCTGCTGCAGCAACAACAGACTTGCAACAACAACTGCAACGGCAACTGGCAAAGCTTCAGAACAACAACACAAAGTGGCCCTGTTAGAAGCTTAAGGCGAGCAGCGTCAGCGTCAACGTCAACGTCAACGCAGAGGAGGCAGCAGCGAAGTACAAAGCAAAACAAGGCGCAGGAAAAACAATTAAGAATTACCAATTAAACTAATTCCGGGACAAGATGCCCTCATTGCTGGAGGCGCTGGAGCGCAAATATTTTGCGGAATGCGAATTCGAGAATGCCAACGAACCGGAGCTGCACAAACGTGATGATTTGCCCAACGATTTTACGGTGACAAAATGTGGGGGTCGGATGGAGTTTTCCATTTTCATACCGCGTCTCTCCCCGCTCACAAGCGTTCCGGAGCTGCTGGTGCTAAATGACTGCGACATTGACTGTGCCGGCGATTTCGATAGCATTCGCGAGAAGTGCCAACGCGTGCGTGAGCTGGACTTGGCGCAAAACAAGCTCAAGGATTGGCAGGAAGTCTTTCACATGCTGCGACACATGCCGCGCATCGAGTTTCTCAACTTGAGCAAGAACCAGCTGATGAGTCCGCTGAGCACACTGCACGAGGCGCCGACGGTGAATCTCAAGAATCTGGTGTTAAATGGAACGTATCTGGACTGGATGTGCATCGATGTGCTGCTCCAGAACTTGCCAGTGTTGCAGGAACTGCATTTAAGTCTCAACAACTACAGAGCGGTGCTCATCGATACCGCTCAAGAAGTGGAGCTACAACAGCAAAAACAAGCAGACAATGAATCCGCCACCGCCAGCCACAGCGACTGCCAGATCATACACGATGGTGACACGGAAGTAGAGGAAGATAGTGTCAGTGGCTGTGGGGAATGTCAGGCGGCCCGTAAATACACAAAAGCACATCCCACGCTCAAAACGCTGCACTTCACCGGCAATCCCATCGAGCAATGGCAGGAAATCTGTCGCCTGGGCCGCCTCTTTCCCGCCTTGGAGAGCCTAGTATTGGCGGACTGTCCTATCAAGTCGCTGAAGGATGAAGCGGAACCTTCCACAATGTCCAACGACTCGTCAACCGCGTCCACGGAGTCGCACAAATATTTCCCCAGCTTAAAGCTGCTCAACCTCAGTTCGGCGAAGATGAACAGTTGGGCAGACATCGACGAGCTGGCCAAGTACAGTCAGCTGCAGAATCTGCGCGTCAAGCATTGGCCACTCTGGGAGAGTCTCGAGTGCACGGAGCACGAGCGTCGACAGCTGCTAATTGCCCGTCTTCCCAATGTAGCCATGCTCAATGGTGGCGGTCTGATCAGCAGCGATGAGCGCATCGATGCGGAACGGGCCTTCATCCGCTACTATATGGACAAGCCAGAGAACGAGAGACCAGCGCGTTACGCCGAATTGCTGGCAGTGCACGGCAGACTCGATCCGCTGGTCAACGTTAATCTGAAGCCGGACAAACGTGTCAAGGTCGTCTTCACCTATAACGATGTCAGCGAGAGTCGCTTCGTGGACATTTATCTGACAGTTAACGATCTGAAGGCAAAGCTTGAAAAGCTGATCAATTTGCCGCCTAATAAGATGCGCTTATTTTATTTGGATCAGGACTACAAGGAGTTCGGACCCGAGGAGATGCGCTACCCCAATAAGCAGCTCTATAGTTATAATATACAATCTGGTGACGAGATCATTATTGATGCCAAGAAATAGGGGCTGGCGTTAGCCAGGAGCGGAGGGGCTGGTGCTGCTAATAACTTGTGATTTTGTATTATACAAATACAGATACGTATAATAAACATATACATACACATACACATACATGCTATGCAAAATCCTAATATTAAATATATACATATATTTTTATTATTTACTGTACATACACCTAAAAACAAAGCCAACAACAGAAAGCGTGCATTAAACATAAATTACACATAGTTTATGCAATACTTATATACAATATATTTTAATTACTGAATAACCTAAGCCGCAACACAGACTAAAATCCATGCAGTTTATTTAAATTAAATAAATTTTAATGAATAATTTACAAAAATTACGTTTGTTTTACTGGTGGAAAAATGGCAACAATTCATTAACGACGCACTAACTACCTATTTCGCAATTGTGATTTCGAAAGTAGACCATGTCGTCGTGTTCCAGCGATAAGATATGATATATTCGTAGTTCTATCAGCAAAGTGAGTCAACAAGAGTAAACTGTCTTCTCATTGAAAAGCTCAGAAGAAATATTTAAATGTTTTGGATGGTGCATTTTTCACTTCGTAGTATTTAAGTACAAATAGAATCACTTATCTATTAAAATCCATTTCTAAAAAAAACAATTATTTGTAGTGTTAATGTTTCAAAACGTGATTCCCTTTGCGAAGGAATAATGTTTTTTTTAGCTTCATGTTTAATTTAAATTTTAAAATGAAAATCCGGGGTTTCAATAGTTGGAGACATTGTTTTCGATTAGTTAGCCCCCCTAATCTATCGACATCACAAAAGCTTTTTTGAGATGATGCACAACGATGTAGAAACATAATTTTATATACACTATTAATTTTACCTTGTCCCCGAAGAATTATGCTGTTTTATGAAATCGTTCAGATTTTTTAGCACATACATAAAAAAAAATTATTTGTAGACCACTTGTTATATTCAGATAAGAAGCCCTAAAGCAATTTATTTGGGTGTCAAACATAAACGGCCGACCCTTAGGTCACATATCCATGCCACGGGCTCCCAGTGTAGACAAAAAAGGCCCGAATGAATTGTATGTTATTCAGCAAATACAGAGGTAAGGTACGAGGTATGGAATACCCTTTTACTCTTTGGATACAGGGTATAAATAAATTATTCCAAAATATAAATTTTGTATATAAACTAATTAACACAACATTTTAAAGTGAACCTACATTTGAATTAAACAATTTTTTTTTGACAATTCTATCACATATTTCTACGTGTTCCACATGTTCTACGGTTGTCTTCAAGACCAGTTAAATCTAAAGATAAACTAAACATATAATAAATTATACGAAAATATAAATTGACCTTTTAGACGCCTCAAAGCCTCGAATTTTTTTGCCATGATTATCAGCCATTTATTGACTATTTCACTATACTATATTTTGTGAAATATTTCTAATGACTTAAATAATTTATAATTGAAAATTTGTCATACACAGTATTCAGAAAACAAATGATGTCTTGATACGTTTACTTATTTGTATCAGTCGAAAAAGCTGTCAATATTTGGATTAAAATGAAAATTAACGTTGGGTCCAAATTCAGTAGAATTTATGGTTGGCCTAACAGCCAAAATATTAAATAAATCTGTATTAGCAAGACTATAGGAAAATTACACCTTCTGCACAGCAATGCAATTCATCTCCAGAAAGCATGCATATATTCAAAGGAATAAAAACAAATTTAAGTTATGCCGCTACTTACTCAATATAAATATAACATAACGAATATTGTTTACGTAAATTTCTCTCCATCTATGTATCTCACGACTACATATCCTGTTTCATTTTTGATTATTTGTACAAACTCGTTCATTTATTGTAATAGCTTCAGATCCTGGTATTCATAGCTATTCAAACCCTGTTAGCTGTAGGTTTTCATTTTAAGCTAGCATGAAATAAATAAATAATAAAATAAAAGCAAATAATCCTTTTAAACTCCAACTAAAGGCGAATTTAGCTGTTTACTTTTACATACATGTAAAGTGGCATCCTTGTGCCATTATCATCAGTTGGCACCCCCGATCAGGCGAAGGTGTAATTAAGAAGAAGTCGTGGGATAGTCGTTTTTCAACAGTCGTAAGCAGCAGTCGTGGCATTCAGTCGTCAGTAGTAAAGTTGTACAGCAGTCACTAAAGTTGGTCAGAAGTTGCAAAAGTCGGCGTCTAAACATATTTTTAAGTCTTATGTTATTATATAATACTATTCTTATTGTTTGTCAAATACTCGATATACTTTATTAAACGATTTATAAACCTAATAAATCTTACATGGGGGCTCAACCGTGTCGAGCAGCCGGACAAATATTCAGAACAGTTCAAAGTTTTTAAGTGAAGCATTCATAAAAAATGATTCTTACATAAGGGCTCAGCCGCATAAATTTTCATACGCAGTCAGTTGAAATAATACATCTAAAAGTTGCAGTGCTTAAAAATGATACGCTCAAGCAGAAAAAATAAAAATGGCGCACCAAGCAAGAAAAATCTGTTGCCGGTGGCGCGCATGGAAAATGGAAAGACATCACAAAGTGTAGACGATCTCGATCTAACGTTTGAAATGGTAGAGGAAAGCAGAGCAGTGGTAAATGATGAACAAAGTGTAAATCATACGTGCGAAAAAGAGATAAATATATACAAGTGCGAACAAGGCACAACGGCAGGAATAAAAGAAAAAGGTGCGAACGTCGAACTACATGATAATTGCGCAGTTGAAAATACCGAGAAAAGAATGTATTCTGAGGAGACACACACATGTATACAAAACCACGATTTGTCAATTTTAATTAAAATGCTGAGTGAAAAGAACGATTCTAACCCAAACAAGAACAGTGTGTCGGTGGAAAGCTTTGCAAAAGTAGTCCCTGATTTCGATGGCATAGCTATACCAGTTAAGCAGTGGGTAAATAATTTCGACGAAAACGCCGAGGCATACGAATTAAGTGAAAAACAAAAGTATGTGAATGCAAGAAATAAAATGGTTGGCACGGCCAAATTATTTGTGGAAACTATTACTGTATCAAATTATGAAATGTTATGTGCAGCCTTAATAGAAGAATTTGATAAACAGCTGAGCAGTGCCGAAGTACATAAAATGTTGCAAAAGCGGAAAAAGCGTGTGTCGGAAAATTTTCATGATTATGTGCTCCAGATGCGAAAAATAGCATCACTTGGACAAGTTGAAGATCAGTCGGTTATAAATTATATAGTTGATGGCTTAGACGTGCGTGACGATCTAAAATTTCCGTTGTACAGTGCGCCCACGTACAAAGAACTTCGAAGTCGGTATGAGCTTACTGAATTAGTGGCAAAGAGCAGTTCGTATAACAAACGTCGCGAAAACGTTGATAAAGTAGGAGACAAACAACAACAACAGCAGCATTGCTACAATTGCGGTTCAACAGAACATAAGCGGGCAGAATGTAAACGAGAAACAAAATGTTTTAAGTGTAACGGTGTCGGTCACATAGCGAAGCAGTGCGTGGCAAGCAAACAAAGCGTTAACATTGTATTAAAGGAAAATCGCGTTAAAGAAATAAAAATCGGGAAAGCAGTTGTATCGTGTTTGATTGACACTGGCGCGGATGTTTCACTTATGCGAAAACAAAAATATGAAAACATTTTCGGTGACCAAAAGTTGCAAAAGAATTTTACTAAACTGTTTGGCTTAGGCAATATTGCCACTGTCGTGTTGGGTGAATTTACAGAAACAGTTGAGGTCGATGGTTTTGTGACAAATCATACATTTCTTGTTGTACCAGATGCAAGTCTAAAAGTTGAAATAATTGTTGGCTATGACTTTTTACAGAAGTTTACTGTCACACTAAATTCCAATGGTTACACGTTCGTACAGGCGCAAACAAAAGCTGATGATGAGCAGTCTGAGTTGAATGTTTTTAACGTGGTAAGTCCAGCAAGCGAGATCGATTTAAATGTTGAATCCCAGTATGCCGAACCAGTCAAACAAATGATCGCCAATTACAAGCCGGTGGACAATGCAGTAGAATGCCCAATAAAAATGACCATCATACCGAATGTTCCAAGCATCGCTTTTCGCGAAAGTCCAAGCCGATTGTCTACAACAGAACGTGAATTTGTACGAAAACAGGTGGATGAATGGCTTCACTGTGGCATTATCAGAGAGTCGTCGTCAAACGTTGCAAGCAAGGTGGTGTTGGCCAAAAAGAAAGATAGGACCTACCGATTATGTGTGGACTATCGTAAGCTGAATACCCTCGTACTTAAGGATAGGTTCCCAGTACCAGTTGTCGAAGAAGTACTCGAGAAGATGCAAAATGCGAAATATTTTACTGTTATGGATTTGCGAAATGGCTTTTTTCATGTGCAGGTAGAGGAGCAAAGTCGAAAGTATACAGCGTTTGTTACCAAGGAAGGGTTGTATGAATTTAATAGGGCACCCTTTGGATTTTGCAACTCCCCAGCAGTGTTCGTACGATACGTTAATTACATATTTCAAACATTGATTAACAAAGGCATAATGGAGATGTATGTTGACGACATAGTTATTTTCGGAGATTCAGCTGGTCAATGTTTGGAAAATATGCGAATTGTACTGAAGCAGGCAGAAATGTATGGGCTTGATATAAAATGGGCCAAGTGTCAGTTCTTAAAGAAGAAAATAAATTTTCTGGGTCATGAAGTAGAAAACGGACGTGTTTGGCCAGGTCAAGAAAAGGTAAAAGCTGTGAAGAATTTTCCTCTTCCCAAAAACATACGGGGAGTACAGGCCTTTCTTGGACTAACGGGGTATTTTCGAAAGTTCGTTAAAGATTATGCATTACTAGCCAGACCGTTGACACAATTGTTGAGAAAAGAAGCCGAATTCAAAATTGAAGGGTTACATGTACAGGCGATAGAACAATTAAAGAATGCTTTGACGAATGAACCAGTATTGAAGATATTTATGCAGAATGCGGCAACACAGTTACATGTTGATGCGTCAAAAGATGGGTTTGGTGCTACTCTTCTCCAGCAGCATGATGGCAAGTGGCATCCTATTCTGTACTGGAGTAAAAAAACGACACCTCAAGAAGAAAAGTTGCATAGCTATTTTTTGGAAGTGAAAGCAGCATATTTAGCAACAAAAAAGCTACGACATTATTTAATGGGCATTGAATTTGTTCTCGTTACTGATTGCGCAGCGTTTAAGATGACATCAACGAAAAAAGAAATTCCCAGAGAAGTAGTGCAGTGGTTAATGTATCTGCAAGATTTTACGTATACCATAGAACATCGCGCTGGTATAAGGATGAAGCATGTCGACAGCCTCAGTCGATTCCCAGTCATGATCGTAAGCACAGAAGTTCAGGCACAATTTTTAAAGGCCCAACGCAAAGATGAAACCTTAGTTGCAGTTGCAGAAATTTTAAAACTGAAACCATACGCAAACTACAAGGTCAGAAATCAGCTGATTTATAAACAAGTAGATGGTATTGATTTGCTAGCCGTACCGAAATGCATGGAAAAAGAAGTTATCAGGAATGCTCATAACTTTGGTCATATGGGTGTGAAGAAAACCATGCATCACATTCAGCAGGACTATTTTATAGCACACTTAGAGAAAAAAGTTGTGGAATTTATCGCGAATTGCATTGAGTGTATAACACATAACAGAAAGCTGGGTAAACAAGATGATTTTTTGCATTGTATCGACAAAGAAGATCAGCCGCTGAGTACACTCCATGTAGATCATTTGGGATCATTGGACCTGACTGCAAAGAAGTACAAATACATATTCGCTGCTGTTGACGGGTTTTCAAAATACACATGGTTGTATCCAACAAAGTCTACCGATGCGCAAGAAGTTGTTAAACATATCAGCTCGTGGGTAGCTATCTTTGGGAATCCACGGCGTATTATCAGCGACAAAGGAGCAGCATTTATATCGAAGCAGTTTAAAGATTTTTGTGAGGAACACAAAATAGAGCACATCGAGACTACTACAGGGATCCCAAGAGGAAATGGGCAGATAGAGAGAGTCAACCGAGTTATTCTGTCTGTTTTGTCAAAAATGTCTGCAGCCGAGCCGTCAAAATGGTATAAATATACATCACAGGTGCAACGATCTATTAATACACATGTCCACTCATCTACGAAGTACACTCCGTTTGAAATTATGTTCGGCGTCAAAATGCGTAATGAATCTGATCTGGAAGTGGTGAAAATTCTTCAGGACGAGCTACTGGAAGGCTTGCAGGATGAACGCAACCAAATCAGAGCTGATGCCAGAGTACAGATTGAAAAAGCTCAAAGTTGCTACAAGAAGAATTTTGACAAAAAGCGACGTAAGCATAGTGGTTACCAATTAGCAGACTTAGTAGCCATTAAAGTAACACAGTTTGTAAATGGTAAAAAGCTGGCTCCGAAATATATCGGGCCATACGAGGTTACCAAAATAAAACGTAATGGAAGGTTCGACGTGAAGAAAGTTGCAGAGTTCCAGGGTCCGAATCAGACTTCAACTTGTACTGATTCTATGAAACTGTGGCGTTACATGGGTCAAGACGAAGACGATGAAGCTGGAGAATCATCTGAGACAGATGATGAGCAGGATGGCCGAGTGTAAAGTGGCATCCTTGTGCCATTATCATCAGTTGGCACCCCCGATCAGGCGAAGGTGTAATTAAGAAGAAGTCGTGGGATAGTCGTTTTTCAACAGTCGTAAGCAGCAGTCGTGGCATTCAGTCGTCAGTAGTAAAGTTGTACAGCAGTCACTAAAGTTGGTCAGAAGTTGCAAAAGTCGGCGTCTAAACATATTTTTAAGTCTTATGTTATTATATAATACTATTCTTATTGTTTGTCAAATACTCGATATACTTTATTAAACGATTTATAAACCTAATAAATCTTACATACATATATCTAATTTTTTGTAAATATTTTAAGTTTTCCGTTAGCGTTTTCTTCACACTAAAAACTTGTTGAAAGTCTATAATAAAAATTGCGGCAGTGGCAAACCTAAAAATGTACTACAATCTAAGACCTTCCCTATTCATATCTTTCGATTTCAATTTACGTTATGCTGTTGGAAAATTTTCCGATTAGGAATCACGCCCCACAATAAAGTCCCAATTTTCGAAACAAACCCTTGTTTACTCCACCCGCCCCGATCATCGCATAAAGAGTTCAGCTAATGACGTCTATAAGTCCCGAACCACGTTCTGTAAATGTCGGGCTCGTAGCGCTCGTGACAAAACTAAGGAGCTGACGTCGCCGCCCACGCTCGGACACGATCTGAGTAAGTGCGAAAATAACGGAGAATTGGCTAATAACCAAAACAGTTGATAATGTTGTTAAGCCAGTGCGCGAATTTTATGACTCGTCGTCAGTGGTGACGATGTGTACTAAAAGATCACAGCAAAATAAAATAAAATGAAATAAAATAAATTGTCTATGTAGGTAGGTAGACCATAAAAATGCAAGGTGTGTAGAAAAATTGTTTATGTAGTTAATTAATAAAATTTACACATAGGTTTTGAATGTCTCGCTAGAAGGTTTTAACCATACACCTCGCACAATTGCCAATTGAGTTGGGAATGGAGCGGCAAGCGTGCTAGACGCTTTTTTGGAAGTTAAAAGTGATTTTGAATTGGAATTGTGTAGCAAGTGACTTTCTCAAATTAGTTAAATAACTACGAATATTGTAAATGGGATAACATATAAGATGGATCCCGATAATGATATTTATGCATTTTACGATATAAGAGGGTACAAAGGGTATGCTCTATTACTTAAATTATTTAAATTCATTGTGTATTTTATTTTAATATAATATTGTATGTGATTTGTGTGCCCCAATTACAGGAAATGTAGTATCAATAGACAAAAATCGGAACGTATTCTGCTACCGCGAATGTCACTCCTAGGGAAGCCCCTGAACTACAATCGCGGCACACGCCGCGATGTCCGCTATAGGCGACTTCAGAGTCGCCTCTACAACTTCTTGGAGCGACCCCGCGGCCTGCATGCAATATTCTATCATGTGATGGTGTAAGTGTGATTGTCTCTTATGCCATTATCCTTTTTAGATCGATTACAAATCATCGCCTCGTCCATGTATTGCAGGTTCCTTATGGTGTTTACATGTCTCGCACTGAGCGTGTTCTCCACCATTAAGGAATACGAAGAGGATGCGGTGTACATATTGTTTAGAATGGAAATTTTAGTTGTGATTTGGTTTACCCTAGAATTCGCGGCACGACTATGGTCATCCGGATGCCGCTCTCGCTACCAGGGCTGCCTGGGGCGTATGAAGTTTGTAAAACGACCATTTTGTATTATAGGTAAGCATTTACGTAAATAAATAAGTACGGTTTTTGATATTGGCAATAATACCTGTCCACCATATTATGCCAATACCAACAATAGTGCAATTCATCGAATTTTGAGCAGACCTTACATAACAGGAAATACACATGCATTTTGCAGATATTGTCACAATTTTAGCATCAATTGTAGTATTAGGTATGGGCACATCTGGCCAGGTCTTTGCCACAAGCGCTCTGAGGGGCCTGCGCTTCTTTCAGATCCTGCGCATGGTCCGCATGGATCGGCGAGGTGGAACCTGGAAATTGCTCGGAAGTGTCGTATACGCACATAGACAGGTATGTACTTTTCTCATCGCTACACTATAAAAAAAACTATTTTTTTTTTACATTAGAACATCATAATTCCCATCATTGAACAGATTTACCGTTCTATATACAAGTATTATTGAACGCGGAACTATAATGTTCCTGTAGGAACCTTCTCAAAATTTAAAAAAAAACCCATTTAAGCCGCAAAAACTCCAGTTGTGGTCAACTTATTTAAATTCTGAAAGTTTATTTAAATTCGAAATTAAATTAAATTTAAATTAAGCTGAGACACTACTTGGTCTGCCGTCGTGGTGATAATCACTGAAACTTGAACTTGAGACACTTCAAATGTTATTAAATAATTTAATTAAAATTTGTATGTATTGTATTGTTAAGTTTTTGAAAAGCATGTACTACAAGTGTATGCGGTTTTAAGTTATAACTTGAAAGAGAGGAAGGTGTGAAGTGTCCTCATTTCTATAAATAGTCAATTCTTATATGTTCGTAATGGCACATTCCCAAAAAGAGCCATGAGTATACTTTAAAGTCTGAACGCCAAAAAAGCTATAGGCAAATGTGTTTGTTTAGGATCAGACTAACAAAATAAAACACACCGACATCTTCGTCTGTCCATCCCTCCGTCCGTGTAAACACCAGCAACTTTTGAACGATAAGGCACGTGGGAAGTTATTTACTTTTATTTTTTGAAAAGCATGTTTTTAGTTTTTAAGCTAGAATTAGTATCATATGTAGGTTTCTCAGTCGTCCACTAATAAGTCAATAGTTTGGAGCTAATAATGTTTCTAATTTCGACAGACAGTTTGCAATATTAAGTAGTTAAAGAATTTTAATTATTTAATTTAATTAATTTTAGAATTTTGTTTTTTATTGGCAATAAGGTGTGAAGTATGGCTCATATTATTTTGTTTTAAAGAATATTTCCAATTTTTTTTTGGAACTCTTCTCTTTGCACCACAGGAGCTCATAACAACAATGTACATAGGATTTTTAGGTCTCATATTTGCGTCATTCCTCGTTTACATGTGGGAGAAGGATGTGAACGATAAATTCAGCAACTTCGCCCAGGCACTGTGGTGGGGCGTGGTAAGTTGGGGGCAGAGTCAAGGCCTACTTGCAACCGCTTGACATTTCAATTATTCAATGCCGCCATTGCAGATTACTCTCTGTACCGTCGGCTATGGCGATATGGTGCCCATCACTTGGCAAGGGAAACTGATTGCATCGTGCTGCGCACTATTGGGCATTTCATTCTTTGCACTGCCAGCGGTAAGTGGAGCGCACACTTCCACATCCTGTCGCACAGACGCTTAACGTTTCCGCTCTCTGCACCTGGTATGCACCCCGACAAATATTTCAGGGCATTCTGGGCAGCGGTTTTGCTTTGAAGGTGCAGCAGCAGCAGCGTCAGAAGCACATGATTCGTCGACGCCAGCCGGCGGCAACGCTGATTCAGGCCGTTTGGCGTTGCTATGCCTCCGATGAGCATTCGGTGTCGATAGCCACATGGAAAATACATCAAGTAGCGCTGCCAAGTCCGCCAGCCTCGTAAGTACACAGAATTCTGCATTGACAGTAGAGTTGTGCGGTCCAGTTCCATTCGTGTGGACCACTTCTAGTTATCTAAGCTCGGATACCATTTCGAAACCGGTTCAATATTTCCATTCATATAGTTCAATTTCAAAAACAATTTTTTTCAAGTGAAATAAAAGTAGTAACATATACAGGCCTGTTCCAAATTGACGAACATATTTATGTAAAAAATGCAAACGCTCAAACTATATTCCCCCAAAAATTGTTCACTCTGTTAGATCAATTAATGGAACATTTGAAATCACATCAATAGGTCATTCTTAGATACGTTCTTAAATTAAATTTTGCGGACATCAAACGATATTGAAAAGGGTTTTTTCACACTTCCTCATTTAACCAAATTTTTGAAGTTGAAAATATTTGTTAATATTTGTTGATCTGCAATCAATAAATCAATTCATTGAGACTGAATTTTGTTCAAATTATAGAAATAATAAACCACTTCCCACATCCTATGTATGGAAATTTCAAGTCTTCTAACTCGAATTATGTAATATTTAACATATAACTGAAACGAATACGAACGTGCTGAATTGGTTTTAAAATAAGCAAATGCTTATCAAAGTTTGCTCACCTACTTATTTACAAGTATTGCCTACCACTTGTTAGTTGTTAGAATTGAATGTTGAACTGTGTGAACTAAAATGTTGAAAATGGAAAACCGGCCAACTAATTCGCGAATTGAATCGACACAGCTCTTGTGGACAGTACAGAGTTGTGAGAAATGTTGTACCATACTTATCTGATGTTGGCGACTTGCAAGTGCAATGCAATGCTGTATAATATGTAGATAAATAGTAATAAGTTACACGAATGCGTTATAATAAGGGGAACGGGCTGTAGATTCCATGAGCAGCGGCACTCGATGGGAAGCGCAGAGAGATGCTTCACAAACAAACAGACCTACAAACACCAAACACCAACACAAACAAATACACAAACTCACACTATAGAATCACCACAGTTAAATAATTTTATTTTTGTTGGACACACAAAGTGCATGGGTACTACATAAATAGAATACATAACAGTTAGTACCTACATAGACATATGATTGATATGGGCCCCCGCCCCCTCCTATTTGTCTACTTTTCAATTAACACACTTTAAGTTCCAGCTAAAGTTAATTTATTTATTAACATTTGATTTCATTTCTTTCATACATATTACATAAATGAAATACATTTAATTTTTGAACCATTTTCAGTTCAGAAAACTGGGAGCGATTATTAAAAAACATTACTGAATATAGGTAAACGTGAAAGAATATTCTTAATCGCAACGATTTTCAAGTCAGCATAATGCAATTATTCAGTCATTCAGCAGTCATTCATTTCTTATTAAATAGTACTATATATTGTTTTCGTTTTTCTGTTCGTTCTAATAATTCAACGGGGCTATGCATACATACATATGTATGTACATACATATTTATGTAAGCAGAGGTCCCCAACGCACACACTCGCCACCTACATACATAAATGCCTTTTACATACATACATATATATGTATAAATATATGTATATAATCGTATTTAAATTTCAGCTTGCGCACAAACACTCCTCGATGATATTTTTATTTGCTATATTTCCAAGATCACCAAAAACATTGACAAATCAGAACAACAAGCAAAATAAGTAAATCGTAAATAAATTGTGCTAAATTCTCTATCTTCTTTTTCGCTATGAAAACTTACCTCCAAATCATTAATAATGTACTATGACTAAACAAATTAATCAATTTGATTGAATTGATATTCCTTGTGCTGCGCGGCAATCAAAAATATTATGCATTCAATATGTTTTTAAATGTGCATTAACATGTGAGTTCAGATTGCTTTTATTCAATCCTCCTTATTTTCTTCTAACACTTCAAGTACTTTTTCTCTAATTTCGCACAATCCAACCCAAATGATCTATAATGGCTGGCCAAAAGCAAATGGCAAAGCTTTCAGCACACACACACACACACATGCGCACACTCACACTTATGCACTCACGCACACACACATTTTTATATAAATGATACTGCATGTGGGTTGCAACATCTGTAGTTAAAAAGTAATTGGTTATGTTATTGTTATGCCAAGCCCGCACTTGCCGCACTCACTATAAACAATTGATAGCTATGGGACGTCCATACTTACAAATACACACACACACACACACACACCAACACACCCATCCAACACACTATGCACTTGATACCAATTCAATTCGTATACGCTGTGAGCTCGTATTTCCCACCCACCGACCCACCTCTATTTTTGTCTCTCCCACCATTTACTGCTCGGCCCGATAATAATTGCTACAGTTGCCAGAGTAGAGAGTACAAATATTTGATTGCGCAAACATTTGGACCATATTCTATTCCGCAGGCGCGCCTCCTCCAGCTTTAAGCACAACACATCCTTCGTGGCACGTCTGCCGACAATAAGGCGCCACAAGAGCCAGACCATTCAGACGCCCGGCGATGGGTCGGTGGCCAAGCCCCCGGGCTCCTCGCGGGCCTCCACACGCTACGCCCGCCAAACCATTCGGGATATGAACGCATCGGCCGAGAACTTGGGTGAGTTGCAAGATAGAGACATATATGTACATACATACATATATATCCAAGAATATACATTACTATTCACATATTTATATATATATATACTCGTTTATATACCTATCTGTACTCGTACGTTTACAATTCTGTTGATGCTGACGAATATAAGCATTATAATGATGTTCAGCATTCTTTCAGTTGTGAAGTTACTTCTTTACTATTTCTGTTTGCACACCTCACGCCCACAGCCACACACACACACACTCACACACACACATATACACACGTACACACTCTAGCATACTCGTACTGTATGGAAAGTTCACAAAAGAATCGCAACATGCGTGGCAATAAAACACAAATGTAATTCTGTATAGTATGAAGTACACGTATATGGAGAAGACAACTTGTCTACTCTGCATCTCAATCTATGCATGCACACACACATTCACACACACACACACACACAGACGCCCACCCACACACACACATGTGTTTCTATATTCTAACCTTTTTTCTTGACTATGCAAATAAAAATATTGGTTTTTTGCTTCTGCGCTGCGTGTATCGTTCGAAATAAAACATCCAACACAACAATCGCAAAATGAACATTCCTCCTCCAAATGAAAACGAAATCAAAAACAATTCATGTCATCTGCACATGCATTCCATAAAAACGTTATATATAGTATGTATCTGTATATTTTATGTGGCAGGGCAGTACAACTTAAATGTAAACCAAGTTTCGAACAATTTAGTACTTTGTTACCTTTCTTTCGGAAGCCCTCGATTTGCATGCAAGTTTTTTATAACCCACTTGAATATTCATTTCTCCGATCTCATCCATTCAAATATTCTAAAATGGTTGCCTCCTTTGAAAACCTTGTAGAAACTTCTTCATTTAGTAGATTATACAAGTAGATTACTTCATAATTTCTGTCACTGACATAAACCCTCATTTTCCATCAACTGGGCGCAACCTAAAACACTTGTTCAAATGCAAAATGATGTCAACTTCTACACGGAGCTTGATATTATGGCATACATGGGAAAATGGATCAAGTTCAGATTCTTAATACTTTTGAGCATATGTATTCATAACTAGACAATTCCCTCAATCTGCCCCCCAAGCCACCCAGACAATGTTGCAAACATCTTACGACATAGCATTATTTAACTATTCTATTTTCAACATTTTTCTGGACTGCCTTATACATAATTATTAATAAAAACAACATAATGCTACAAGTTCCGCTTTCAAATTACATAATGCCTTTGGCTTTAAGAATAAAAAATGGGAAATTAAATTTAATCACATTGCTTCCAGGTCCTTAAAAGAATACTATGGTAGATTTTTTAAATTGTAGTATTTTGTTTAAAACTAAGCCAAAAAATTAATGTTGAAGAAATTAGAAGAATAAAATATCTGTCTGTCCGTCTGTATGAGCGCCCGGATCTCTGGAAGTATAAGAGCTGGAATAACCGAACTTGCTATTCAGATTTTCCTAAGCCCGCTGCACCAGCCTACTATACTCCTCTTTCGTAAGTCTCGTAGCTTTTGGAAAAAGAGTGTATTTTAGAGTTGAGCTCAGTGGATTTATTTTGTTTTCGATTAAAAAGCAATAATTGATATTTTGTGGTTGGTTTTTTTTTTTTTTTGTATTTCGGTACAATCTATAGTTTTGGATATTTTATCCATTGTGATGCTCGTAAAATATATTATTTAAACCCTTATTCATATGAACAAGATATGCACCTTAACGTGTCATTCATTCATTCTTACAATCCTTCGCTGCATTCGTTACACCTTGTTTCTGATCTATATTGTAGTTAAATTAGTGTTCGATTAACGTTAACCTTTAAAAGGTCTTTAAAGTTTACCAATATCCAAAGAAAACAAAATGTTGAATGAATGAATGAACTTAATACCGTAACCTAAATAGCTATGTAACACTTTTGTGATATCTTGGTGTGTTCTTTAATCCAATCAGTTATGTACGACCCATAGACTACCGAGTCTTATTTGATTATTGATTGGCACAAATGCAACAAACGACAACAAAAAACAAAAACAAAAAAAAAACAAAAGAAAAATATGAAAAATTTTACAAAACGAAACTTTAACATCTGGTCTGACATTTTCAGAGGTAGTACAAAATGGCAAATCCTTGAATCCAAGTTTTAGCGAAGATTCAGTTGCTGAAACAACTTGTTTAAAAAATATTAAAAATTCAGACGGTAAGTCTAAAAGGTCTCCTGCCCAGAATACATAACTTATACATACGTATATGCATACAAATAACTACATATATATTTACAAATTGATAATCCAAATTATTGAGTGTTGTGTAAATGTTGTGGTTGCATTTTAATTGGTTTACTTTAATGTTGTTGTTGTTGTTACCCTAATAACCTGAATTTGATTTGGTATGAATCAAATAGGAGAAAGCATATAGTTAAGGTTCTGCCAAGGGGATACTTTTAATATCGGGGGAACGGGGACAGTATCGACATAGCCAGCCACCCAAAGCCACCCAAACCACCAAGCGACTGAACTAATTTCTAACGTGGTCAATCTTGCACTTAGCGACCTCACAACCGCCGTCAATCAAACTGGGAAACTGCGTTGTGCACAGCAACAGCGCCGGTTCGTTGGCCAATTTTCCCAGGGAAATGGCCGAATCATCCGACAGTCAACATCACCAGCAGGAGCAGCAACAGCAACCGCCATCCAAGGCTGCCACACCTGGCCATGTAAGCTTGAAAACCCTCACCATACCCGTGGTGCTATGTGGCTTTTTGCAAGGTGACTTCTTTGGCTCGACCTTCTCGCTGCGTAATCCGCGAGTGGCAGACGCAAGCATCGATGTGGAGGCAGCAGCATCTGCCAGCACTGAGCTCGGGAATATAACCATCAGCGGTGGCAGCAACAACAAAAAGAGCGACAGTCCTGTAAGCAACCGCACAGGTCGCTTTTTTGCCGCCGCCTCGCACTTCCTCGAAACAGGATTCATGCATGGCGAAGGCCATGGACCGGGGGCCAATATGGGCAATGCGGCCGACACCAAAGCACACGGCGCATTTTTTGTGGCAAGTGCGTGCTAGTTGCTTACATATGACTGACATTTGAAGGTCAAAGTTTATCACACCCCTCCAGTGCTCGTCAACGTCCAGCTAGGGCACCTGGCTATATCACATTCTAGCGGACTGGTGCTAATTGAATTTGCTTGCATCCACAGCATGCACACAAAAGCCACACAAAACATTTCCACAAGAACACACATATACGCATGCACTCAGAGAAAACCGAGGTAATAACACACGACAGTTTTTTATTTTGCATTCCACACACTTGTCTCATTCGAAAATCCGAGCAGTTTCTGAATTCGCTCGAACCTAAATCAAAATTATTTCTATTTTTTAAAGATATTCTTTTTTTCCAAATTCGTAGTTTCTTTGTGTGTGGTTTCTCCACACTAATCAATCAATTTAAGAAGGCAACAAGAGATTTTAAAATTAGATAAAAATAGCTAAGTTCAAGAAGTTAATCAATCCAGGACAACTCCTAAAATGGTGTCAATATTCATCAAATTTGGTTTCGATGAAAACTTTTACGTTCCATTCTTAAATGTTTATCAAATTCGTACTCCTTTCATTAAACACTAAACATTTCCAATATATTGCGGCCACCAATCTAAATCGTTGTTGATTTATGAAAACTGAACAACATATAAAATTGTTCAAATATTTGCTTCCCAAGTTCAAATCTTTCAGCCCTAAATATGCTTGGACTTAGTTTTGCTGCTATTCAGATATTTTTCCCTGAAGAAGTAAGACATTTAGTTTCATCTGTAAAGAATACATTCCCTGACTTTGGAATCATTCAAAGTCTTCTATGATATCTTAACTTGAACAATTCAATGTTAATTTTTTTCGTCTATCAAATTTTCAATTCGTTCTTACATCGACAAAATATTTAAACGTAATTGCATCGTAAGATGTAATATTTTTTAAAACATTTAACAATAAATATTACGAATATCAGGGATAAAATAGTACAGCAATCCAATTTTGTTAATTTTGTTTTGTTAAGGATATATTTTCTTTATTTCCCATCAAACGTACGCCGATTTTCTCTGAGTGTAACCCTATTACGTTGTCGCTTGGCACTGCAATTGCAATGAAGCGTGACTGCCCCAAAAAAATATTGCAAGTGACCCCTCCAATTAAGAGCGGTGCTAGAAACTCGTGCGAGCTGTAGAGTGAGGAATTCGTGCATTGTGTAAATAGGTTTAGATACATATAAGTATAGTATATAGTACATATCTGCTTGTTACTCTTTCTAGTACTTTTATGACATTCCGTTTGACTTGCTAGATGATTGCGAATAAAAATACATATCAAATACGATGCTTGAGCTTGCCTAGGCCCCAGAGGCAACAACTACTTGTACACCTTCGCCTACCACAAACACAGACACGCCCACACCCACACCCACACCCACACACAGTCCACACCTACATAAACGCTTTATGAAATGCTTTCTATGCCTAATGACCTGTGCTGTGTATGAGTTGCCTTTTGACTATGTACTAACTAAATAAATACATGCTACTAGGATAAACATAAGAGCCAAACAATTACTAAACTATCTGTTCAACTGTATCTGTATGTATATATATATAGTATTTATGAATATTGTATGAACGTAACTATTGTGCCACAATAACCCCAATCAACGACCTAAGCAAGCAAAGCCAAGACCAACTAATACAAAAAGACAATACTTTCTCCTTCTAACAAAAATTACCCACAGATGAGGATGAAGAGCCCCGCTGCACGCAGCTGACCAATCGACATAAGACAGCCATTCGATTTATACGAAAGGTAAGACCGAATGTCACTACATAAATTAAAATATAATAAATGCAAAATATGTCACCACAAAATATGCCAAAACTGACACTAAATCTGACGCTAGCACTATTTTTGAAACATTCTCATCAAATTTAAAATATTTGGATAGGATAATAGAAATGCAGCTTAAGGTCTACAAAAAAAAACTTGTTTTTAAAATCTTGACATTACTCAGCAATTCCTTTCCAGTACTAGCACATCTGAAAGTGTAGAATATATTTCGTTCAAAAAAAAAAAATAAGCTGACGCTTTTGTCTGACTTTGATGAAAATATTAGAAACCACTAATATACCATTGACTGTGCAAAAAGGTTTTACACTTTAAAAATGTTCAATATGAAATAGTTGTATGTTCGATATTAATAAATTATTGCCATTCAAAAGCTCTTCAAACTTCAATCTCTTTATCATATCTTTATCAACAATCTCTTTTTAGCTAAAATATTTTGTGGCTCGACGCAAGTTCAAGGAGGCCCTGAAGCCCTACGATGTCAAGGATGTCATGGAGCAGTATGCGGCCGGCCATGTGGATTTACTAGGTCGCGTCAAGATGCTCCATTTGCGGTACGCATTAACAAATTCCTTTAATTTCGGTATCCAAATTCAACTCGTCCATTTACAGCTTGGACCAAATATTGGGAAAACAAGGCTCCAAGGCAAAGGATGTGTATGCATCGAAAATAAGCTTAGCCTCGCGTGTCGTAAAAGTGGAGCGTCAGGTAAAGCTGCAAATTGTATACATACTGTGGAAGTCTAGATTGGAGTTTGTTGTTTAATTTTAGGTGGCGGACATTGAGGAAAAACTTGATGTACTAATCAAAGCCTATATGGAGGATCGTGATAGATTTTTAGCGCTTCCACTACCAAGCAAGCCCAAAATACATTCCATTAGTCCTATACACAGTCACTCACACAATCAGGCCATGATTGATGTATGGAAACGGACAGCAACGCTAAGTGTGCATCCGGAACAGGTGACAATAACCCAGGCAACATCCACGGACAACGATGTCGCATTGACATCGACGCAGACAACAGCAACCACAACAGATGCGATAGCCACGCAAACCACTATGCCTTACACACAGCATAGTTCGACCAATACGAAGGTAATTGCTAAAAGCCATTGCCATGGCTTCACATAGACCCTTACCCTTACACAGCAACAAAGGAAATATCAATCGACCCCAACCTTCTTGTATTTAACTATTTTGTAAAAAGTAGAATTGTAATTTTGTCACTGTTTCAGTCTTCCGTGCTTAACTCATATCAGCTTGTGTCTGAGAAGCAGCAGCAGCACAACGATGTTTTTATGACTGAATTAGAGAATAGAACCAAGAAACGTGTTACTTTAAGGTACGCCTGCCTTTCATTTCTAAGCCCATGTAGCCATCTCTGATTACTTTTTTGCGCAGTCTACACAGATCCACTTCGGAGCCATACAGCAAACATGAGCAGCGCATAACCATCCCAGAAGTGGGAGCTCGCTCTTTGGACACAGGCGCTAAGCCCAAGCCGCCAGATAGCTCAAGTAAGCAGACGATTCAGAGATAAATATGACCATATAACATTAAGTATAATCCATATGAACAACACAGTTATACTGATTGATGAGTACGAAGACTTTGAAGAGGAAGATCTTAATTGTGAAGGGGAGATAGAGCCTTTTCCTTCGTGGGAAATCGATAGCGATGTTGGCGCTGATGTGGACGTCGATGCCGATATTGATGCAGATGCTGACTGTGATGAGTCCACTGAGGACACGGCGTTGTTGCAGTGTGCCACACGCACCGCCATTGTCATAACACCAATTAGCCCAGTAAGATACACATATATAGATACATGTATACATATATGTATATTCATTCAGTACTAACCATTCTTGCTTACAGGTAAGCTCAGCACATAATCTACAAAGTTTAAATGACCAAACAACAACGCTTAACAAATCAAATTTGCTTCCACCAGACTCTGGTTAGATATTCGCAACTTAATTAGCTTAATTATGAAATACATAATTGTTATGTATGCGTGTATGTATGGAAATCAAATATGTCACTATGCGACAGTTTTGTGTTCAAATTATGAGTAGCGACTACTTTAATAAATCATTGAATAATTATAGCATATGCCCTGCAACATTCTTCATCGTTTTACTTAAGAGATAACGCGAAATATTGAATTTAATGTTTAATGAAATAATGTTTTTTAAATCATCTTCAAAAGTTCAATCCGCGATGTTCAAGTAATGCCGTCAATAATTAAAGTGGCACATCTGTTTTAAAATACTCGTAGAACTATATACATTCATCTATGTATATAGTACATAAATAAATGGTACATTTTAGAGCTTTAAAAATTGTTAATTACCCTCAACACTGACCTTAAACTCCTTACCATCTGTGGAGTTGCTCTGACCCTCTATGCCTATAAACTCAATGCTTGTGTCGTCGATTTTAAAACAACGTCGCTTTGCCGGTTGCTCCTCATCTTGTTGTTCTTCTGCCTCTACCTCATCCTCACTAAAGATGATTTCGTCCGTCAGCAATATGGTGCTGTGATGAACCTTTCGCACATGAATATTCAATTGCTGCATGCTTGAAAACGACTTGGTGCAGCCCTTCTCGAAGTAGTCTCGACACACATGGCCAATGCCGTGCACACGTTGTATGTGCGCATTGAGACCCTGCCGGCGACCGAAGCATTTATTACATATTTCGCATTGAAACGAGAACTTCTTCAGATGCTGACCCTGCACATGCACATCCAATGAGGCTTTATTTCTTGTGGTGAAGTTACACAAATCACATCTGAAGGACTGGGTGTGCAGCTGTGAGAAAAGAAAATAAAAATGACATTAAAGAGGCATTATAGAAAACTTATAAATTTTAATTTACTAAATGCAACGAATTTATACTATATACTTTCTTCCATAAAATATTGCTTTAACTTTGAGCGTTAAAAAGGTAAGAAAATTCATACCTTTTCGTGTGCATCCCGTTCGCTCTTGTGATAGAAACCCTTTTCGCATTTGCCACAATTATAGCGCTTATTCTTTGAGTGAACGACGTTGAAATGGGTATCATAATTGCGACGATTCTTGACTACTTTATAGCAAACTGGACACTCAATCGACTGATGCCAATACTCAACATGCTTCTGGAGTGCCTCAGCGTCTTTGTAGGATGAACTGCACTGATCGCAAGTAACATTATCTAAATAAAAAATAGTATGTGGGAAGTTACTAAATCTGTTCATCTGCTGTTAGCCGTTTACTTACTATTGTTATGACTGCGCGCCACATGGACGGCCAAAGACATTTTGGTACGAAAATCCTTCTTGCAGAATTGGCACGTTAAATTCAATTTAGTGCTTTTTGATTCGGCAGTCTCAGCTGGAGAATTGGAAGCCGGGGAATCGTGTCTACCACCGAAGTGCGTGCGCCGCTTGTGTGTGTACAAGGAGTTCCAATTTATATACGAAACGAGACAGTCCTGCACAACAATCATATATAAGCGGCATGTTCAAGTACATACTCTAGTATTAATGTTTCACCTTATAGTTGCACATGTAGTAAAGAGAAATATCTAGTTTTCGATGTGCCACGTCGTTGGCGGATGCCTGTGCCAGACGCAAATGATGACGGTAGAGTTTAATGTCTGAGAACTCCTTATAGCAGGGCTGGCACCAGTAAAGACCATCCTTATGGATGCCCGTGTCGCGATGATTTTTCAATTCTCCCTTCGTTCTAAAATACGACATGCAATACTCGCACACAAAGGCGCTGCGAAGCATCACCGAAAGCACTTCAGCCCCATAGCAGCGACCGCCATCCTCGTTTTCAGAGTGGGCCTGCGGAAAGACAGCAAAAGATATTTCGAATACTACGGAATAAAGTGGCTACGTTTACTTACCAGCATCTTCTCTTGATTTTCACTCAGCAAACCACATTTGCTGCATACATGAAGCAGCCGCTCAATAATCAAATGCGTCTTCACGTGCAGATTAAGTGACACCTCAGAGGCGAACTCTTTTGGGCACAAGTCACATGTGACAAGCTCGCCATGTGAGGTTCGCTGCAAATAAAAAAAAAAAAAAAAAACGACTGCATAAGGTTTCATTTGGAAAAGGGTTTAGAAGCAATTACCATGTGACCGGTGAGACGACCGCGCGTATCAAAGCAGAGGGAGCATTCGGAGCACGGGAATGTGCCCACATTGGCGTGCGCACTCCTATGTTCGTCAAAGTTGGTCTGATCGCAGAACGTGCGATCGCATAAGTCGCAGAACAGCGTACCCTCCGGCTCGTGGGCATAGTGTAAATGACGAAAGAGCTCCTCCAGATTGTAATCGACACTGTTGCATATAAAGCAGGCTCTGGGTCTGTGCTTCTCCATGTGAAATTGCTTGTGGAACGAGTATCTGAAAAGATCTGTCATTAGATAAGATTTTCAATCTAAACGGAAAAGGAACTCACCGCTTCCATGACGGAAACTCCTGGTTACATAATTTGCAGTACAAACGTAAGCCACGTCGCTTTTTAAAGATGTGAGCGCACGAGTGCTTATTGTAGGTAATAAAATTCGAAAAAGTCATTTTGCACTCCGGACAACTGCCATAAATCTGAAGGCTGTAAAAATAATAATTGTGGTATATACCAATGCTGTGCTCAATGGCTACCAACATACTCATGAAGGGGTGCGTGCCGCAACACTAGATGCTTGGCCAAACGCCTATGTCCCTTTAGGGAGTCTTCACAGTCGCTAATTGGACATTGGTAGATATCCGGTTTCTTTTTGTGCTGCTTCTGCATGTGCGCCAACAGACGATCAAAAGTGCTAAACTTAAGTCGACAGTGACGACACTCTGTGGACCAATCAAAGAACAAATTTTCGAACTCGGTCTTGACTACCGTCTCCAAATACTCGTACAAGTCGCCAACATTATCAGCTGAAAAGGAAGCTCCAGTTATTACTTTATGAGTTGTGCGCGGTTCCATTACTTACATTTCTTTATAGGCACCAGGTCCATCGGATCCAGTTTATCGTCATCGGCTGTATCATTACCCGATTGCGAAGCGTTTATAAACTCCTCATCATCGTCCAACAGTTCCATGGATTGCATCGCCAACTTGTCCATCTCGTTATACGAAATTTCAGCGCCCAGCACAATTTTGGATTCGTCTATGGTCTGCGACGTTTCCGAATCCGACGTGATTTCAGTTGCAACATCATCAGCGGGTCTCAGCTCCTCATCGGACAAAATGTTCTGCATTAGAGCATTGATCTCCTCCTGCTCCGAAGTTTTCTTTTTCTTTCCAACTATTTTCACTACTGGCTTGATTTTGTTCGCTACTGGCATAAACTCTCCTGATGCGGGCTTAATTTCAGCTGCGCCAACTGGATTGCTTTTCTGTGTTGCGGACACAGACTGTTTGTTGGCCGACCGTAAAGTGCGACCAGCCGCTGACACCGATGGGGCTTCCACATGGACCACTGGCCTGCTCGAACTGGCAGCTTTAGGTTTGGGCAGAATCGCAATCTTCGCCTTCGGCTTCCCTGGCTCTTGTGGCTTTGGCACAATCGTAAGCTTCTTCTTTTGTGATTCTCCTGAACTATTCTTTTCACCTTCATTTCGTTCCTTTTCGAGTTCAGCAATATCAAAAAATTTAATCAGAGTGTTAACGCAAACCTCGCATAGGAATTGGGATGCATTTGTTTTCTGCTTCACTTCAAACTGGAAATGATTAAAGAGTAATGTCGACAAGCCGATTTCAATGCCCACTTCATCAAATATGTCCTGGTATCGGAATTTCGGATTACTGGTTCTGCAGTACAAACAATTAGGCTTTGGCGACGCCGACATTTTGCTTTTGGGTTGTGTCACAATTCAAGCCAAGCTGGAGCTGACAGATACGAAGATCTCAAGTTATGAGGTGAGCGAAAAGCTAAATTTCGTTTTAATTTTGCTTTCAAAAGAAGAATTTATATCTGCTTGCTTTTGTTGGGAATGCAAGTGTCACGATTTTCACTAAAATGCTGTACAGAGACGGAACCGGAATCGAACCGCTCTGAACTAGTAAGGGAGTTGCCACCCCACGGCGGACTGACATAAAGCTACCAGCTATGTGTAAATAGGCGCGCTCACAGATGTCAATTCAAATGGCAACATTGAAATATGTATTGCATTTTATTTATTTTTAAGTATTTTGTAAAAAAAAAAAATATTAATGCTATAAAAAACAATTTAAAAGTGCATTTCTTTTGAAAAAAATTACAGTTTTACGAATACCAATTATTTCCACTGCTAAAATTCATATAATTTAAACGTTCAGTAATATTAAGGTTGCTGGCTTGACCTAGCTGTTGACCTTTTTTAGAAGAGCAAAGTAACTATATGAGGAGTTTACAATCTGAAAAATTAAAAGTTAAGACCATTATTATTATAAGTAATTGATATGGATCTTCATCACCCTTACAGACGTAAAAGCAGCCAAACTAAAGCTATATGTAGGATTTATGGTGCGCACATGCAAAGGTGAATCGAAACGCATCATCATCAGGAGGCAGAGTTTACGATTAGATTGGTTCCACGACTGCCAGTTGGACTTATAAATGGCGTGTTTTAATCGAGCGCTCTCCAAAGTTACTTCGTTGGCTGCATAACAAATCATGAATATTTGCTGCAGCATCACCATTTGATATATGCAGGTCTTGATCATATTGGCCGTGCCATCCGATTTGGTTGACATGTCGTAGAAATTGCAAATCAATACCAAGACTGAGCAAAAAATCTGCACTGAACCGGCAGGTTTAACGAACCCTTCCACCAATTCCTTCAGCTCTAATATGCGCTCGAAATAAATAGCGCAGGATCGCAACTGTTGAGCAATGACTCGATTGCTCATCGGGACACCCCATCCCAGTTTCTCCAAACGCGTAGCCAGCATCTTCAATTGTGCCTGAACATACAACAATAGGGCGACGGATATCGAATCGTAGGATATGTTGATGTAACAGCTCAGCGTAACGGCCACGTACTGAAATAAATACATGGCCAAATAGCACTGAGGGATGCTTACGTCACAAGGCTCATACATGGACAACGGCAACTCCGCGCGGTCCACGACCATTTGGGTCAAGAGCACAAAGTGTACAGCCACCAGAGAAAGTGCTCCATAGCCAACACTAATTGTACGTACTGTTCGCTCCACCAAGTAAAAAGATTCCATTTCCGCCTTGGACGCAGGTTGAAAAGCTTCCTCGTGCATCATTCTCACAAGACGCGCATGTTTGTCATTATTTACCCTGACGGTAAGGAACTTCGCCAGACAGCTCAGCTCGGTCGCGAATATAAAGAATATCTTTATAATCTCATGCAGTGCCCCAATATTGCCCAGAAAGCGTATTGAAAAAAACGTTAACAGCAGACAGAGTCCCGCTAACATGACCCAAAACCGTATCCTGTAAAGGCGACGCTCCTGGGGCGTAACCAAATCAGGTAATCGCCAAATGGCCAAGAACTTAAAATACCTGACCTGGTACTTGTAAAAACGCTCCGTTGCTTCCTGATGCAATGATCGCTCCATATCTAAAATTTGTTGTGTTTGAATATGGGCTCTTTTATATCAATTGATTCATGGGGTCCGTACGGGTGCCCGTAATGAGGCTAATTATGAAAATTGTGCACCTTATGCAGTGCGAAAAATAGCGCCTCACTTACCGAACTGAACAATGCCACATCGATGAATCGGTTTGCATTCATTGTCCTAATCCGTATTGGATTCTCCAGACGCAACATAAATAACAGCAAAAGCTTTCGATTCGACTTATTCCAACCTACTCAGTTGGATTTGTAAAGTTCGTGTTTCAGCTCCGCACTGCGTTGCGAAATCTCGCCGGCGTAGTAGCACAGTATAAAGATTTGCATAAGCATACAACACTGATAGGTAAAGAACTTAACAAACACCACATAGTCATCAGAAAGCTACAATGTATGTGTGTATTTATGAAGAAGAATGGAGTGAAAACAAAATAATTCAAATGAGAAGTAATGCAAAAAACATATATGTATGGCACTTACGTAAAGACATAAGCTTATATAGGGATAGAGTTGATGCACCAGGAAAAACAACACAACTGAATTCTAGCTCTTATACTCTCTAAGATCCTTGCGTTCGTGCATACAGACGGATGGACCGACATGGATATCGAGTCGTCTTATCATAACGACCACGAATCTATATGTTCTGTGTGTGCATAAATATGTGTATATATATACAAGTATATGCGCTAAGCTATAGAAATATCGTAATTAAAATCATTCAAAAATAATTATGCTTGCCCCTTCTGTTAAAAAAAGCAGTTTAAGGAGATGAACAAACTTAACGCTGCTCTTTGTGGGCGTAGTATTGGAGTGAAATTTGTTCGCTAGTAACCTTTCATAGAATTGAATGAAATTTGAAACTAAAGTAGGTAATTGTATATAAATGACATGGTTGGTTTATGTAGTTTTCAAAATATGGACAGTATTGACGAAATTTTATAAAGAGTGTAGAGGGGTAAAAATAAAAAAAATAAAACAAACTCGTGTTGCCTGGATATAAGTAGAGTGTACATACAAGTTTGGTAAATATATGCTCAACCGCGTCCGAAATCCAGGCGTTCATCCAGGAAGACGGACAGGCGGCCAGACGGACTTGGCTCTATCGACTCGTCTCGTTTATTTGATTAAAAATGTTTATACTTTACAACTATAGGTTGAAGATGTTTCATCTTGCCTGTAAAATACTTTGCACAAGCCCAACATATCCTTTTTAACCTACGGGTGCAATCTATAAAATGCACTCACTCTAGACATCTAAGGTATAGGAATCTGACGTGTTTTTTAATATTATGATAAATTCTAAATAATATATCGAATTCGAAGTATTTCGTTACTTTGGCGATAAGAACAAGTACTGAGCAAAATATTTGCGCAGATATGGGTTTGTAGAGTAGGCGCTCCACATTGGCAGCCAGCTCAACAATCCTCATGTAATAGAGTATGCAACTGATGAGTTCCTGCTGTACCAATTGATCCTGTTTTTGATCTCCAAGTTGCAGTTCTTTCAGCTCCTCCTGATGACGTCCAATGCTGTTCAAGCGCAAAGCCAACATGTCCAACTGGCATTTGACAAAAATGAAGAGCGAAGAGCAGAGCGAGAAAACAGCCGAGCGACAAGGCCACACACTGATAGCAATACAGAGGTCCTGAGGACTATAGGTGGCCAGGGGCAGCTGGGTGTTATCGATCAAATACTGGGTCAGGAGCAGGGCATTCAGCGCTGTAAAATATATGCCAGCATAGTAGTTGCGCATCTTTCGACTGAACCCACGGGCCTCCGCAAAGAAGGTTTGTTCATGGATGTTCATGGGCAGAAAATGTCTCGAGTGAAAGCTCTGAAAGAGTCCCAGCATCTCTTTATTGTTAAACTTATTGACCAAAACTTTGAAGGTATAGGCAATACTAGTGGCCAGCACGACAAAGACACTAATCATCTCATCCAACTAGTTGATATTTATGACTAACTTAAGCAGCAAGCTCAGATTAAATCCCATAATCCAAAAACCGAAAATGTGCCAGAAATTAATGGGATCAAGGCGTTTCCGCTGCGGCCACACTGAGTAAAATCTGAGGATCTTATGTTGTCCCTCGTAGAAAACATTCACGGAATGGTCCAAGTCCAACGTTGCCTGCATGTTCCAAAGCAAAGTGGAAACTGTTTAAGGTTATAGTAAATCTTTACGCTTTTAAATTCTGTTTCCATTGTATAATCAATTAAAAGCTCGTTAGGACTTGCTTGCAACCACTGGCCAAATTGCTATATATACTAAGTATATACACGTACAAATCTTTCAATAACAGAAAACTAGTTTTACGATACGTACGATAACTATGTTTCATTAAAGCAATATATACTTATGTATGTATATTCTCTATAATCAGTACAATAAAAAGTATTGTTGAGTATACTAATTCTAAAATAAATCAATAAAAACAAAATCTTCCTTAAACGAAATCTAAATTAAAAATAAATTACTATACCAAGCACTTCATTTGTTTACAGATTCAGTCTTTGATCTTCTAGAAGCAGGAATAGGTTTTTGTAGCAGTGTATCCAAGTTTAAGCAACTTAGGCTTGTTACATAAATATTCTAAATAATTCAAGCAGCAATTATGGCGGATAATTTATTGCGTATTTGAAATCAACGTCGATAATACGAGTAATTACTGAAAAATTAATGCAAATGCTAAAAATGTGGCATGTAATGGTATTAGAATCCAAAGTTCTTGGGATCACAGAAAGGTGAAACCATCCTGGGGTGTATTTAACAAGGTCATGTGGCAGCGAAATAAAGGAGCAGCTGGCCGTTCCCGTTCAAAGACATTGTTGTAGGTAAGGAAAGCATTCGGCAGCTTTAAGACCTGGCCTACTGCAACTTCCAGCTTCACTATTGGATAGAAAGCAATTTTGGTCGGTGGCTTTGACCTACCTTTCGCTTGTGGCTAAGGTGTCCGAAATAGGTCTCTGGGACACACATATTTTTGTTATAAGCCACTATATTGCAATATTTTTTGAATTTATTTTTCTACCAATATTTGTAAACATCTTCTCTGTTGCTTATAGCAAAAATTCCCCTATAAGTACCGTTAATTTTTAACGCTATGACTAACAATAGCCTGCAGCATCATCAGGTAGAAATAAATAGCTGAGACAAATAACAAAAAATAGTTATTCTAAAATAAAAAGAAAAAATATGAGCTAATTCACAGTATTAAGCTGCCTTCCATCGGCATAAATCTTTTTTGACAGAACCCCCCAAAAGTAATCCGTTGGATTTAGATCTGCGCTTTTTGAAAAATCCGATGAGGTTCGATGAATAGAAATTGAGAAATAAAAGAAAACATCAGCTCGTCCCAAAGTCGTCGTGGACTTAATCTAACGATTGGCACACATAAATAATTTCACACCATGAGTACACCTCCACCAAAATTTGTTGCCTTTCGGGCTTCCTTAGGTCATCTAAAGTTTTAATAATAGAATTGCTTACAATCTGGGCCATCCACTTATACTGCCAATATTTCCATGACTATTTGCGGACATATGTGTACCCTTTACATAAGTTTGAATCCCAAAAAAGAGAAAATTCGTGCACAAAGTTTCATTTATATTTATGCAAATTTTTTAAAAATATATATTGAATTATTCTACATATAAGTTAAGTCGGGGCACCCGACAATTTGAAAGTGCATTTTATTTAACGAATACCAATTATGTCTTTCCATGATCCATATAATTTAAACGTTGATTAATATCATTAGTTCTGGCTTAATCTAGCTGTTGACCTTTTTGAGAAGTGCAAAGTAACTATATGATGAGTTCACAATCTGAAAAATGAAAATAACAACATAATTTTAAAAATGTAGAGGAATTTACCCCATCAAAATAGACAACTAAAACGAATATTTGCTTCAGCATGGTATACATATATATAGTATATACGTACTAAGTATATATACAGATCTGAACTGTATTGACCGTCTTAAAAGAATCGGCTGATATGTACAGCAGACAACATGACCTTCACTTACCGAACTGAACAATGCCACATCGATGAATCGGTTTGCATTCATTGTCCTAATCCGTATTGGATTCTCCAGACGCAACATAAACAACAGCATTAGCTTTCGATTGGACTTGTTCCAGCCCACCCAGTTGGACTTGTAAAGCTCGTGTTTCAACTCCAAACTGCGCTGCGAAATCTCGCCGGCATAGTAGCACAGTATAAAGATTTGCAAAAGCATGCAGCACTGATAGGTTAAGAACTTAGCAAACACCAAATAGTTATCAGAGAGCTAAAAGCAAATAGAATTGTTTATAAAAATAAAATCAAAATGCGATCACTACATAAATGAACTATTTTTTATGAAACAAACTATTATCTTTAGTTTGCAGATCATCGTGTTTTTTCAAATGGTCCCAAAGTCCTGAGTTGGAAGTATTTTGTTCTAATAAGGTACTAACCAAAGACAAGGCATAGAAGTTGGCGATAAGAACAAGTACTGAGCAAAATATTTGCGCAGATATGGGTTTGTAGAGTAGGCGCTCCATTTTGGCAGCCAGCTCAACAATCCTCATGTAATAGAGTATGCAACTGATGAGTTCCTGCTGTACCAATTGATCCTGTTTTTGATCTCCCCGTTGCAGTTCTTTCAGCTCCTCCTGATGACGTCCAATGCTGTTCAAGCGCAGAGCCAACATGTCCAACTGGCATTTGACAAAAATGAAGAGCGAAGAGCAGAGGGAATCGAAGGATATGTTGACAAAGCAACTGAGCGACAAGGCCACACACTGATAGCAATACATGGCATAGTATCCGGATCTCTTGCTCACATCCAGAGGACTATAGGTGGCCAGGGGCAGCTGGGTGTTATCGATCAAATACTGGGTCAGGAGCAGGGCATTCAGCGCTGTAAAAGATATGCCAGCATAGTAGTTGCGCATCTTTCGACTGAACCCACGGGCCTCCGAAAAGAAGGTTTGTTCATGGATGTTCATGGGCAGAAAGTGTCTCGAGTGACAGCTCCCAAAGAGTTCCAGCATCTCTTTATTGTTCAACTTGATGGCCAACACCTTGAAGGTGTAGGCAATACAAGTGGCCAGCACGACAAAGACACGAATCATCTCATCCAACTGGTTGATATTTATGACTAACTTAAGCAGCAAGCTCAGATTAAATCCCATAATCCAAAAACCGAAAATGTGCCAGAAATTAATGCGATGAAGAATGCGAGCAAGGCGTTTCCGCTGCGGCCACACTGAGTAAAAGCCAAGTGTCTTACGTTGTCCTTCGAAGAAAGCATCCACGGAGTGGCCAAAATCCGAAGATGGCTGCATTTTCCAAGCAAAGTAGCAACTGTTTGTGGCTAGAGGCAATCTTCACGCTTTTAAATCCTGTCCATACATTGTATAACCAATTAAAAGCTCGTTAGGACTTTTATTGCTCTTAGATTACAGGCCAATTAGGGGTTTCTTATTTTAAAAATTCAAATACAAATAAACAAGCACTAACTATCACTGACCCTGAAAAATCAATTCCAAACTGAATAATAATAGAAGCCCATAGAATATTCACTTATGAAATAAAGGGAGTCATGAGTTTTCTCTCGGAGTATTCGTGCTTTAGCTTAAACTATTTTAGGCTTTTGAACGGCACCACAAATTAATTAAATAAGTATAATTCAATATACTAATAAAATCAAGCATCTATTATGACTGAAAATTTATAGTGTTGTTTAATCAATATTAATGCAAATGCTGAAAATCGGACAAGTATTGGTATTATAATCCGAAGCTCTCGGGATCACAGCAAAAGGTGAATCCATCCTGGGGTGTATTTGGCAATCTCGTGGGACATTCTACGCAACTGCAAAATGAAGGAGCAGCTGGCCGTTCCCGTTCAAAGATGTTGTTGTAGGTCAGGAAGGCATGGATAGGTTTCCCATTGGCAGCTTTAACTACTTTGTAGGTCCACTCAGGCACTGGAATTTTGTTGCCAGCTAAACAGGCATTGCACGCCTCGTTTGCTTCGTTCGTCAGCTGAAGAACATTTATGCCACCGGTCCTTATACGAAAGCAACTTGTGTTCGGAATCTGACTGCGCACCCAACGCTCTATTTTCTCCCAATTCCCATCGTTAATGCTCTTGAACTGCAGCACAACGTTGAGATAACGAAAGGTGCTGGCCATTTGGTCGAGAAATAGGAAGTCGGCCGACGCGACCAGATGCCCTCGGTTTATAACCAGCGCACGGGCGGGTATATAGGACTGGCTATTGCCAAAAATGCAGTTAAATGATTCATAAATATTGTGCTTCGCATAGGAAGCTGCTTCAGCGGGCGTGAAGAGACCATCAGTCTGAAAATCCGTAAAGGGACGTTTTGCAACTATAGTAAATAAATAAGACGTTTTGGAATGCGTAAACAAATTGGTATTTGATATTTTCACTCACAGAAGGACTTATAGTAGACATCGCTTTCCGAATACAACACGCGCCCATTCTTGGCATCGAAGCAGGAGCGATAAAGTTCCAGCATCCTGTTGCCAATGACATAACCAACGGCGTACATTGACGCCTTGCAGGAATTGTCGCTGATTTGCTTCACAACAGGATTCATGGGATTGCTGCAGCTCAGAGGCAGTGGCAATGAGAACTGATCATTATTCTGGCAAGTAGACTCCAATACATCGGTCTCCGAACAGAATGCAAAAAGAGTAACCCCTCGGGGCACAAACTCAGAACGCTGCAGTTGATAGACGCCAGTTGAGTCGGAATAAATAAATATTCGGTTGGAGCCCTCCACCATGTGGCGATAAAATTGACAATCGCCATGCAGACCATGCACTTCAGATGGATATAAATTATATGTACAGAAGCTTGGAATCGCGCTCAGCTTACCCAACAAAAGTAGTACCAACCAAGCCACCAAGAGCAAACGGTTCATTGTGCCCCAAATACATACGAGTATGCTTTGATGCTTATACCATTCGGGATTCTGAACAATATGTGACTTAAAACTTATCAGCAAATTGACGTTTGCACAGAGAACAACTAAGAAAAAAATTACAGGAAAGTGGCCATCCCAGTGACCAGGGCTGTCACCAGCTCGATTTAAATGGGGGAAGAAAAACCACACCACACCATATACAAACATTTTTTGACAGTCCACTCTTGATAACAATTTATTGGTTTTATCACATATATATGTTCATGTGTGTATGTGTGTATGTATATAAAACAATATATGGTTGGTTGTTAGCGAAACCCTCAGACATTTGTTGGTCAATGTCTATTGTGTGGTACTGTACTTTTTTTTAGTTTTTCATTCTACTTCAAACGACTTTTCATAATAAATCTGTGTGCCTATAATAATGTGCGAATACAAAATAAGTTGATATTTGTTGTTTGAGATAAAATTATTTGAATAAAACTTAAAATAAATCAAATATGATTGAAAAACGAAACAGAACATAAATGCGTTTGGGGGGGAGCCCCGATCTGATCAGTGGAAAAGTAAATGAGAAGCAAATAAAAAGTGTTACATATAAAAACTGAAAACAAAACTACTATGTTGTTATTCATTAAATGTTTAATTGTGGATTAAAGCTGCTCATCAAGTTGTTGTTGCTTGCGTAAAACTGCTCCGCGAAATCTCATACAAATTGAAACGTATATAGAAATTGTATGCTTTGTCGAATAGGATATGTGTTAGCAAGTAAATCTCTCAGCTTGGCGTAAAAATAGTTTGTTATTCATGAAATTGCACAATATTTATAAAATGTGTACTTATTTTCAAATATTAATTTCTTTTTTATGCTGTGCGTCATTGATAATAGTAATCGATGCGAGAAAATGAACTATTTTTGCTCCGAAACTGTGCAGCAATATTTAAAAAAATTGATGTTCCTTTTTCAATTATTTTCCTGCTTATTTATCAATTTCAGAATTACTTTCCCGCCTTGTGCGTCCATCGCATACAAGCTGCTATCCCTAACCTCATTGTTGAGTACCTCATCGGTGATGGTTACATGAACGCCGCCTGGACCAGATAAGTAGACACAACACTTGTTCACTTCGCTGAAGATGTTGGAACCGCTTCCCGAATATTTTGAATGCATGCCCCAATTGTTGAACACCGTTGATCCATTCTCCAGCACGCCGCCATTGCTGACGGTCTTTGACATAAACTCGTAGAATCCGGGAAGTTTGTACAGTTTCTGTTGGAGCTCCTTTGCCGTGTTCGACAGCAAATAGATGGCATTGTAGCTACAACCATCCAGACTCACGTAAAGGGTCAGACGGGGTGCAATCGTTCTGTGTGGGGGAAATCGGTTTTTATTATTAATTTGAAATTGTGCCAAAACAAGTTCAAAGATGTTTTTACTCACTTAGCGCGCAAAATATTAAACATGCGTATGCCGTCGGCAAGACCGCAAATTTGTACCAGGTCCTCCTTGGACATGCTAATTATAGCCGATAAAGAGAACAGCATCGGGGAGTCGAAAAAGAGAAAGAGCATGATGTTCATATTTATTTATTTAATACACCTAAGTATGTAAGTTTTTTATATAAACTGCACCCCACATCCCTCTCAATAATTAAACTGAACGCATGTACGGCATTTTAAGATTGCCCAAAAAGACAGACCACTACAGTATGTAACAGTCAGCCGCCTCCTTTACACCAATGAAGGGAAAGAATTTTTAGATTTGGACGCCTTAGTTGAACGACTTTGTGCTAATAATAGAATCTACAGTTTTAATAATGCATGTAGATGTGCATTTCGATGGGACAAGTCTGCATGCAAAGTCTGGTGTCCCTATTTGTCATGGCTGAAAAGATATCGATGTTCATACAGACGAACACACGGATGGCCATGGTATAAGTAGCTCTTCTGTCTGCTCTTCACAGGACACAAAAATGTTATCAAAATTCAAATTTTTAATGATTTTTTTTCTTTCGTAGAATCTAGAACTTTAAAGAGAAGAGATGTAACACTTACCGCAAAATATCGGCACCAGAGAACTGCGAAAATGTTGTAAGATAGGCAGTCAAACGATTCTGGGTCAGCCATTGTGTCACTTGAGCGGGTGTTGAGTCCGGCATTATGTTTACATTCTGTCAATATAAAAATAATAAAGTCGTGTATTCAATTTAATACACGAGGTGCCAACACAAAGGCACATACATAATCATCAATATCCGCCGGCACATGTTGTGGCGACACCATGTTGGTCGCATCCATTAGTTTCAAAGTTGGCGAATTAGTTGATGTCACCGAATTAATTGCTATCGGGCTGCTGCTATTCGCTGGAGATGCGCTGGCAAAGGGCAACATGCCATCATATTTCGGTATATGCACTGGCGAATTAGGCCAGATTTTCATACTGCAAGAAGAGAAACGACGAAGAAAGGAATATGTAATTGTTAGTTATAAGTCAAGCTAATTTTCACTTCATGAAGCCGTACAAATTCTATGCAGCAGTTTACTGAGATATCTGTTGCGACAACGACAAGCGTGATCCTTCAGATACAAGCGCATGTTCACAAATGCAAAATGAAACTGTCTCTAGATGACGGTGGAAGCCAAGCGAGCAAGAAGCAAAAAGAAAAACAAACAACAACTAAGTCTGTATGCGTGTGCCTGTCTGTCCGTCCGTCCCTCCATCTGTCTGTCGATGAGCAGGTTAAACAACGGGCCCGCTCCCAGTTGGCTCTGTTGGAGGCTGATCAACAATAACATCGCGTCTCACATATGTATATACATATACTATATACATATATTCAGATACATACAAATATATATATCCATATATATGTATGTATGCTTGAACTCGTATATGTAGCGACAAGTGTATGTGTTAGGGCACCTGTGTTTATATTTGCTAATAATATTGAGATACGCTTAATTGCTGCCTTTTTGTTTATATCGAATAGTTGTACCACCAGTTTTTACTTTTTCTGCAATAGCAAGCACTTTGCTTGATCCGGTTCAGTTGAACTATAGTATTATATATGTAGATCGCGTTATCCCCTTTACAATTGTTTTTCTTTTCAATTACCCTCACCAAAGACTGTTAAATGCTTAACTGCTTAAATATAAACTTTAACCAATCACTTAAACAACGATAATAAATTAAATACCGGAATCAAAGAAATATAAATAATCGGAAAACTTATATTAGGCTTTATAAACAGATCATTAGCAAAAAATAGGAGTGCGCATTACTTGGGACCGAAAAATATGAGTTGTCGTTCCCTTTGAATGGTATTTATTACAAGACTAATAGATTTATTTATTGCACAAAAATCCCCGATCCGTCTGTAATGAATATGTAAATGTGTATTTCATTAATCGAATAAATGTAGGCGTTTCATAAGTTGTTGTGTCTGGGAAACCGGTTACAATAAAAATACCATCGCTATTTGTTTAGAAATCGAGCCTGTAGCATATAATGTTATGCACGGATGAGTGTATACTTGTATAAAAATCTGGAATAACTTTGTGAACACACATGTATAAGGGTCGGCCGGATAATCTGTAAATACTTGGGCGCTCTTCTGGTGTAGTGAAAGCTCTTGCTATACTTCAAAGAGAACTATCTGATCAATCAGATACGCACATATACGAGTATGCGTATGTAGTTTCTGCTCACTAGAGAGCGAGCTATAATAACCTGTTTTCTTCTCCAACATCCACAATGTGGTCACTCAGTGGCGGTCGATTGTGTCGCTCATGTTTTGAAACTAATATTACATTTTTTTTTATTTTTTTAAATTTTAAATTTGTGCAGAAGTGGAAAATGCGAGCGAAAAGCTTTAACGGAAAAATGTCTATTAGTACATATGAATTTGATTGAACTTGCGTTATAGTTTTGTCAGCTATTGATGACGCATGTGATATATAGTATAGGATGTATCTAAATATCTACGAAAATAGATATAAATTTTGTTCTTGTTGTTATACAAGATCTTCGTAGCAATAAAGAACATCTCTAAATCGTGGCATCTAAAACTAGACAACAGCGCAATTTTTGTAGAGAAATGAATCCATATTTCAAAATATGCTTTTAAGTAATAAGTAATGCCAACAGTTATTACTGCCTATAAATCGTAAGTCCGTGCTGTAACTCACACGGAACATTCACACAGTCTTAGAGTCTCGCTGAAAAAATCTTTTAAAAACGTGCTGAGTAAATTTTGAAATGCGCAATTTATCTGAGTCGATGTGATATACACGTGCACCTAATGGGATTGCTTGGTCATAAAGACGTTATATAAATAAATACATACATACATAAGTGTGGATGTATTTTGGATATTGCTGTGATTTGAGGCTTATCAACAAAATAATTGCATTTAATTAGGCATCCAAATGCAGCTGACGTAAGATGCACGTATAACGACATTCGCAATCAATTGTTAGTTACAAAATAAATATACTTGTACATAAATAAACTCACTACTCGGGACTGTATGAGCCAGTGGCAGTTGGCGCTATCAAATCCAACGATATATCATTCATAATTGTGCACTCGTAGCTGGGCTGAAATTTCTCTTGTTCGGATTGTGGACGCTTTTGAATTTTTTCTCGATCTTGTTTGTGCTTACGATCTGCGCCTTTGAGTTTAAAAACCTGTAAAGATGCAAGAAGATATTCACATAAATATCCATAGTTTAAAATGAAGGACGCGTTCACACTTAAAGGCTACAGATGCAATAAGTCATAATTAAAATGGGCTCCTGAAAAAAATTATCTACATCAAAAAATCTTAATCTAACCAATAAAAACTTGTAGAAATAGAAACAAGTATTTACATAATTATTTAGAGTGAACAAGCATTAAAGCAAAGACTACTAATAAACATAATTCAAAAAAATAAATAAATAAATAAATAACATGTAATCATCACATTTATAATAAAAATAAATAATTACCCTCTTAATTTAAATTGTTTTCTATTTTAATTATAAATTCTTAAATACTCATAATTGGTATCTTTTAGTCTAAGAGGCGTCAAAACTTCTAAGCACAGGTTTATTTTCTTTATGTATGGCAGAATTTGAAGAGCACTAATTATAGATTATATTAAGGAATCGGTAATTATGTGAAGATGGATATTTAAGTCTTGAATGTGAAGTCTTAAAAATACACCATAAAACCAATTTCTAAAATTGTGGACTTTGTCAGCAGAGATGGCATACGGAGTGTCCACTGTTTGCAAATGGCAAACTAGTTCTAGTTGCACTTGTCGTTTACACTTACCTTAATCTGGCAGGCAGCTGCATGTACGGCCAGTTTGCCGTTGAGTGCGCCCAGGGTTGTCGAAGTATTCGAACTGGCTGTAGAACTGTTGGCATTATCGTTCGGGGTGCCGCTCGGTGATGGGACCAAAGCGTTGTTAATGCCACTGCCGCTGCTGTTGCCGCTGGTTATGTTACTAGTATTGTTAGTATTTTCTATATAAGTTTCAATTTGTAGTCGAAATGGTACACCCTTTTCTCCACCGTGCTTCTTTGGTGTAAATTCGGTTGAAATGCAGTTGACCTTGATATAGACACCGACCTCCTTCAATGGATCCCAAAATATTTCGACAGTGTTCAGCGAGTTTGAGTTAAGGGGCTGCGAAACGTGGCACAACCCGTACGAGAGCGGAACATCCACCTCAATGATGCGTTCGCCAGGTCGGGATGCTTGCCATTGTTGCATCTGTTCGCGCTCCATAAACTGCAGCCGACGCTCGTGGAAACATATCTTGATGACACTCTGCGAAAGGATGGTAAACTGGTCAACGCTCCTGTCCTATTTGCATGGCAACCATGTGCTTGGTTTTAAAGATACTTTAGTTGAGAATTGATTCTGCTCATTCTGTTCCTCAAGCTGTTTTGCCTACGCCGAATTAAGTTTAATTGGGGCATATTAAAATCAATTAACATAGCACTCATACAAATGCATGTACATATGTTATAGAAGCAGCAATCGTTATATGCTGCTGGCTATGCCGCCGACGCCAAATTGTTTGGCGACAGCGCGACAAATAACGACAGCATGCAATCATGCCGAACAAATACTGTTACAGTCTTAATAAATAAAAAAAAAAAAACAGCAAGAACTACATACAGCAATAACGACAACTCAGTCAATTTAAACAACATTTTTGCAAATTAGTTTGAACTCAACGGAAGCCAAATGCTCCAAGCCCTCAAACGCACGAGTCAGCAAACAACAATGAGATCCTCAATTCGCCAGAGAAAAGAGGCAGAAAGAGGGAGAATATAAATCTTGAAGCAGACATTTATGATTGCATGTAGACTCGCAAATCAAACATTTCGCGACATTTCACTCACCTTCAAAATCTTATCGCGATAGAAAGATAGATCGCCGATCTTCTTCAATTTTATCTCATAGCTTTGACCCTGATTCAAATAGGTCAAAGTCTCCTCATTATTCTTCGTAGCAATGGATGTTGCCGCAGCCAAAATATATTGAAACCTGAAAAATTAAACCGAAATAATATATACTACATACATGTATATAAATAATATATTCATAAAAAGATATATAAGCTGGTATCATATATAAGCTTTAGACATTCGAACAAAAAAGTTATACGATTCTTAAAACGATTGTTTCTACGTAAGCTAGATATGATCAAATATTTTAGCAGCCATCCTACACAGATATATATATATATATATATATATATATATATATATATATATATATATATATATATATATATATATATATATATATATATATATAAACATATATACATAAGAGTGATTAGAACATACGGACTATTGAAAAGAGCGTTATATCTGTATCGATCCGTTAATAGACCGCATGAAATTTCTTATATATTAATTACCAATAATATAGGATAATATATATATAATATATATCTATTTGTATAACAAGTATTCCTGTCAATTCTGAAATCGTACTCACTTATGGTCTTCGGAGTGCACTGCTGTGCTGCCTGCCGAACTGGGCTCTATTTTGGCCGCCTCGACAACATTCAGCTGTATTGGACCGGCGTGTGCTGTAGGATTAATAAAATGTTACAAAATTTACATCATCAATTTTCCAAAACCATTCTATTCATCGAAATCGAAACAGAGATTATCATCTGATAAATAAAAAAAAATAATAGACTATTCATATCTATAGCGTAGGTCAACCAAATAAATGAATTAATCACCTAATGGTTTTTGATGTCATTATTTCGCGTTTCATTCTACCTAAAATCACAGCTTTGCACACCCCCTCACTTACCCGCCTGATTGTAGGCCGCGCTACCAACGAGATTTCCGCTCGAGTTATCGCCAGACGGTGCATTGCCATTTCCATTGGCATTAGCATTGGTGTTCAATTCAAAATCCGGAGCGGCGGGCGAACCTTGTGGGGAGCCACAGCCGCAGGTGAGGCCAGTGTTCAACTCATGCTTGTTTTTGTTGCCACTGCCACCAGCGATCGTAGACGCGTCCAAGTCTTGCGAAGAGTGCTGCGGGGAGTTATTCGAATCGCTGCCGAGTGGTGATTTTTCGAGTTTGTTGCCGCTGATCAGGGGAATCTTTGTGTGGGGCTTCAGGTGATCGATTTGCGGCTCCTGCTTTAGTGCCGTCAGGCTCGGGGAGAAGGATAGAAAATTGTCACTGCATTCGCATGCAGATCGGCAAAGTTAGTTATAACGCCTAGTCATCACATGGAATCGGCACTCACTTGTTCAAATACGAGTTGCTATTGAAATCGGCATTTAAATCAAATCCTATATCATCGCTCCAACTGCTGCGACCTGAAAGTAAATCATTGTCCACAATTAGACCAAAACGAATGTCGCATTTAACCTTATCGGTGTTCCAAGATAGACATATGTATACATATCTTTGACGTCAAATAGTGCCGCCAAGTGACGCCAATACCAATCTATCAGCGATTGATCTATAAATTTCAAATACTTAAATGTACAAATATTCTACTTTAAAAATAATGTACTCTGGCAATAAACTATTGTGTAGCAGTTTTGATTTGTGAAGGATTTTAGGAAAGTTTGCATCTATCGTATTGCGCTGAGAAGCTGACAATCGACAAAAAAGGGTTCCCCAAGCAACTTTTGCACTATCTAAGGATATATATGTAGAGTTTGCGATAAACATAAAGTTTCGTGTCCATAACTGGTATGTTGATCGCTTGGGTACTGTCACGCCTCCTTCTAACTCTCTGATCAGACATGCAAATTGTTTGCACTCTAATTTGTCGAATTTCACAAGTATGTGATAAGTGCCACATTTATTAATTAAAACCAATAAGAATTATATACTAAAATATAGTTTCCTTCTACTAAAAACATCTCTATAATTTGCTATAAAATGTCTAGTGGTAAAATACCTCAAATTTGTATGCATATTGTTCGTAAGTCTGACCGTATATTCCAATCATTTTTACACGGAAATTTTATTTTATTTTGTAGACACTTAATTGTTGTAGCAATTTACTTTAATTTGTTGCTTTGCAAATGCAAAGCCGAAACGCGCTTAAACACAATTGGGAATAAAAATCAATGGGAAGCCATGGAATTTGAGGGTGAGTCTATATCCAACAGCAACTAACTAGTATATGTACATACGTATAGTATGTAAGCACGTTTTGCCAAAATAGAACAAAAACAATGCTCGAGAACGTCAGAAAATATTACATAATATGAGAAAATTAAAAGACATAAAAGCTTTAGTAGTTAGTGTACCAAATCGTTGTTTTTGGAGGCTCCAAAGAGTGTTCATGAAGTCCATGAGGTGTTTTTCACCAGCAGAAGATAATAATAATTTATAAGCTGCTACTTCCCGGACAGACTGTACGCTTTTTGGGAACTAGTTTTATGAAACACTGCACTACCCCATTGCCACTAATTTTAATGTATATACTACAATATGTACTATATGTAACATGTGTCCAAGTATCATTAGCCTGGGTACGAAAAAACCGCAATTAGGTTTTTTTTAAATTAAATTTCCACTCGTGAAGTGACAAACGCAGATTTCAATTGTTGGTTGTAGCTGGAAATCAGCTACTAGAACGAAAACACAAACTATTTTGTCTTATCTGCACCCATTTGTCGTGTTGATTTTGTATGCCGTGATAAGCTAGTCCGAGCCACCCAAGAGAAGGTAAATAGGAACGACTAAAAAGGGGGGAATAAGCATTCAGTTTTGGCCGAGAACGTGCAAATTTTGCAGATAAGTATGAAAGTATGAATGTGCCTAGATTATCGGCTATTTCTATTGCTATAGTCGAGTGTAATTAGAGCTATTGAAGTTTGGGTTTGCGTGATCTCAGTGCAAATCAAAATCATATCGATAATATCTAAACGAAGCGTTTAAACTTTAAAGCCATTGTCACAACAAAATGGTCATGAATGGAAAGCTATATGAATGCTTTTCTGGATGACAGCTGTCGCTTAAATATTAAAGAAAAGCTCATATTCATTAATGATTCTAATATTAGATTGTTTAGAGACAGGGGCATGTCTGAACGGAAAAACACCGAGTATATTAGAACTATAAGACTATCTCTCACACAAATTCTATTGAAGTGCAGTTTGTTCTACTCATCAAGTGAATTGTTAATTAGCACAACCACGCCTTACACATATGTGCTAAATTAATTAAAAAAGGTCATTTGTTGCTTAAAATATAGTCGTGAAATAGAAATAAAAATGAAATATTTAACGAATTTTATGGAGCCATCACAAAAAGATATTAACACACTGTTGAAAGTCCAAATATGTATTCTCTTCAGATTCATTTCTCTACTCATTCTGCATCGATCAGCTCAAAAACTAAAGCCAAACGGGAAAAATAGGTGTAGAACATCGATTTCTACAAAAATAAGTAGCTACTGACGTATCTTTTGTCGTCATTTTAATTTTAACTAAATGTTCATGTTTAAATAAAAATATTTAAAAATATTTTTGTATTTGGAAACACAGTTGGATGGATTGATAAGTAGAATGCTTGAGTATTCACGCAAATCGCTCAATATCGTACTACTATATTATACAGCGGGTATATGCCAATAGACTACTGGGTAGCCCATTGTCAAATGTGCCTAACAATTCCCTATTCCCTTTTATAATTATCAGTTTTTTTTTTTTAAGACCAGAAACGTGCGCGACTCGAACGTACAAACATACATATTTGAACAGAGAAAACCTGTTTTTATTTTTGTTAATTTGTTAAAATAACGAGTGTTAAGGTGTCTTGAGACTTCCAAGTGAAGTAGAACGAATGAACATTGTCTGTCCCGTTGATTGAAGAATTCCAAGACACAACAACAATATGTCTCTGAAAACAACTTGAAACTAAAAGCATAACGCGTCGCGGTTTTCTGTCTGGATGAGTGATGATTATTGCGCATGTACTGCTGCGAACAAGCCCAGATTATGTAATCAATATCAATAAACCAAAAAAGAAACCTTAAGTGCTTGTAAACTGATTATAAGGCTAACATACGCCCAGTCTGCTGCCTTTAAACATTAACGGTTTCATTAATTAAGCATTTAATAATGAGCCGACCTTAAAACGTTTTCGAAAAAGTTTCATAAATACAATGTCCCCAGCTATCGTAATAAAATTCACAACAAAATTGATAATTGTGGCTGTTGTGCTCGAAAGATAAGAAATTCCTTTAATTGGCACAAAGCACTTCCATATTTTATGTGCCCCGCATTCGTGATGGCGGACTTGAAAATGAGCAAAACGTCATTCATTTCATATCCACTTGTTTGTATTATTTAAATTCGTGATCAATTTGGCTGATATATCTTTCTTCTTGGTTACGAATTCCTCATTTTTGCGATCTTTTCAATGAAGGGATTTTAAAACGTTATCAGAACGAATGGTTGAATACAATACATTTATCTACTTGTATTATCTTTTATATTTGTCACTAATTTTATCTGAAAAACAAAAATTACCCTACCTGAGTGTTTTTCCCGCTTATGTTTATCTTTCTCCTGATGTGCCACTTTGTTGGGTAACGGTATTTCGTCGTTTTGCGATGTCGGTGAGTTTTCACTTTGACCAATATCTAACGAGTCCCAATCCATTCGTCTCTTGCGTGATCCACTGTTTGAATAAATCGTTTGTACGTCGATAATTTGTGGTCCTGGAGATTCCTTCGATTGTACGTCTATATGGGAATTGAAAATAAAAATCAATATACATTGGCTGTAGTGATATGCAGACGCATGAAGGCTACTTTTTGTTTGTGTAAATCTTTATGGTGAAATGTGCCCTTACCTGTCCAGGATTCCTCAGAGTTCGGTGGCGAGTCTACAAAGTTAATAACTTGCTCATAATCGGATCCAATATGCTGATGATGATAGCCACTGATAAAATGACGACTCTGGATCTGCAAAGGCATTATATTTAAGTTACTCCTAGGTTTTTGAAAAAATAAAGCACTTTCTTTTAAAACATCATGCCAACAACTTAGCCGAATGTACTCTTTAAAATATCCAATTACTATTAATACAAATATCAATAAAAGTATATGTTTAAATTTGAATTTATTTTGAACTGTAGTGGGATTCAATCGACATTTGAAGCAAGTGCCACATAATATGAGTATTCACATGTAATTTACATGTAATAATAATTCGATTTCTGTTTAAACCTTGTTTTTGATTGATTCAACAACGTCGAGTCTGCTTTTTAATTAAAATGTCTAGCCACTCGACGAGGCTGTGGCCGCACGGGATTATCACTTGAGTCAGCTAGAATGCTACTGGGGTCCTAAACCTTGCTGATAATGTTCTACCTATCTGTGCACAGTTCTTTATCGCCTATGAGAGTGTGCGTTTGCAGCTATATGGAAATGTGCTATTCGAACAAAATTGTCGGAACGAAATTCTGGAAACTCAGTCTCTTTTGATAATTATGTTATGTAGATAATCAGCTGTGTAGATATTTGGCGTGACATACTTGTATGAAATATGAAGAGTTTCTACAAATCCGATTGTTGGTTTTAAAAATCTTACAGTTGTATAATCGATAGTAAGTACACATGTGTATATATATATATATATACAACAACATGCTTGAACTTATTTGTTTACGCGATTATAAAACGAGTTCTATATATGTATATGTATGTATATTATATGTATGTATTTGATTTCATTGCGTTCTGAAAAGTTAAGTAACCACAAGTGCGCTTAAATGTGATGTGTGATGCCCTTTGTAAATTCAATACGTTTTTCTACTAACTAAAGAAAAACGAGGTACTTAGTAGCAACTAACTTTCCGCAACAATTGAAGCTCGATAGTTACTAGTAAGGCCCTGACGTAGACTTATTTACCTGTTCATTTGTTTTTTACTGTCTGGAAATACTTTAAATTTCATTTGCATGTAGTATGTGAGAAGGCAGATATCATAAGAAGTAATTGCAGATATAGGCGCATATTTACACACGAGCCAGTGCTATGGGATCAAATATCTAACTATAATTACACATACTTATTGAATAATGCTATTCACGTTCATTGCTCACATCGAAAACCACAGTTGTGTAAATAAATGAATCATTAAAAACATTTCACCGCTTGCTAACAACTTTTTCTTGCGTTTAGTGTAATAAGTTTATGATTAAACTTATTTGCCTGTCTGTCCCGCTCTCTATTTAGGGTTTAGTTTCCGTTACACATTAGCTCTGAAATATAGTATCCTTGTCGACGTGGCTAAATACTTTCTTAATTTCGCTTTTTAAAGGCACAACGGATTTTTTCGATTTGTGATTGCCGATTGATGATTAGCCTCTGGTGAACGGTCATAATTACTGAGTGGTAATAATATTGAATTTTTTAAATCATTTCTATCTAAATCAAACCCATAAGGGAAAGTGTATGCTTAGTTTCTTACCTGATTAATGTTATCACCGTTGGTCTGATGTGTTTGAATGTTGTTGTTGCTATTCTGATTATTGTGGATATTATTATTATTCTGATATTGGTTTTGACTTCGATTTAAATTTGTAGTGTATTCCATTTGGCCGATATCGTTGAAAATGTTTAAATCAAATTTCGTTAATGGCCGTGCCGAATCTTGCAGTAATTGTGTTTGTTCTTGCAAACTAACTTCTTGTTGTTGTTGCAACGAATATTGAGGATCAAAAATGCTTTGCAAATCCAAGAGACCGGAACTTTGCGATATAATCGAAAGCGCCATTCGTTACAATAAATTTAATGCACTTTATATTTGTCCGAGCACAGAAACGGAGCTTTTTCTTGAAATATTATAGTTATTGGATGGTCGTTCATTAACCACAATTACCGAATTATACACGTTATTAGAAACACGGTGTTTTAGGGCGCAACCACTGAGCTTTCGCGTGCTATTTTGGCAAGTCTTCGCAGTGTGGCCCCCACAAAAGGCGACTCGTTTTGGTTAGAATTTAATTTTTGTCGTACACCAAACAAAAATGCAACAAAATAAAGGTTGGAATAGAGTTGTTTGGGTTGGAATAGTATTTGTTTTAGTTTTTATATAGTTTAGGTCAACATTTTTGTTGAGGTTAGGTTGAGGGATAATGTTAAAAATGAGTAACACTAGTTCATTTTAGCACAGCATAACAGCATATATGTAAGTATATTTTGCACTTTACCAAGTTTTTCTAACAACCAAATAATATCTATGGCTTTGATTAAATCTTTAACTATTTAACAGTATTTGTGTGGAAAATTCGTTTTTGCGTTTTCGGTATAGTCAATTAAAAGAGTACAAAAAACGAATTATATAGCTTCTTGATCCCAGTGGTTTCACGCTGACGATGGCTTCGAAGTAAAGTGTTTTCGATTTTTAACAGCATTTTGTTCCTCAGATACATAAAGCTCGATTGATATTCATTTGACATGCGTTGCAGCCGTATTTCGGATTTCTCCATTTATTGCAAAGTTTGATAACTGTTTTCAGCAGAATTGGTTATACCGTTTCGGTTTATATATATATAAATATATATATTTTTTATTGTTTTTTATTTTTTGTTGGGGTTGGGCCACTGTCAGATTCCTGCTGGCATTCTAAACAGCATGTGCTGACTTTTGAGTTGATTGTAAAATTTCTGACACCGGCTGATGATGAGTTGCTTTTGTTTAGAGTTTATGAAGAAAGGCACTTGGTGATTTTTGATTGTTATTTTGTTAAAGCAATGTCAGATTTCAGACATTATTATAAGCAGCGCTTCTGTGGATTTATTAAGTCCGATTGAATTTCTTCACAAAATATTTTTGATGGAACAATTAGTTTTCTTCTCCTTTACGGACACGGTCAGATAACAGTGGATTTAAAACTTCAGATTTCGATGTCGATATTGTCGACATTGACATAATATTGGAAAATCTGGTACGTATTGTTATTTTTCACGGCAATATTTATGGCTTGCTATCCGCAGACAACTAGTCCCGAAGCGTTTCGAAATTAATCTGTTTGGCACTGAGTTGGTAAAGTCTCGGCGAACTGAACGTTTTGCCGTTTCGAGTTTAATCGCAGCTCATATACGATGTAGTATGTGTTCCGACATACATATATTCATGCATACTATACATATGTACACATGTATGTGTTTATAATAGCCGCCGACTCTGTTTATGGGGCTACGCTTTGTTGTTTGACTTCGTATTTGTGCAAAAATTGATAAAGGTCTAAAAGCGCTTCTCAGTGTATGGGTGTCTAGCGATATGTGCTGGAGCTGAACTGTCTGTATCTTAGTGTCGGGGTGTTATATATCACTGCAAGTTTCTTTGATTAACAAATTATTAGAGCCTTTCTGCACTTACACACGCACGCACAGTTTTAGATTTTTTAATTTTTATGAAACACAATCGTGTCTGCGACGTAACGAGTTTTTTTTATTTTAGGCTTTTTCAAAGCTCTTGTGCTAATTACACAAATTATTCAAATTCATTAAGCAAATTAACAATAAATTCAGTTTGTTTTAACTTTTCAATGTGGTCTGTTATTTGCACTATTTACGACTTCAATGCGTGTAATTTATTTATTCAAGTGTTTCATATATTTAACACAATCTTTGGGCGATTGGTTTGAAGAGAATTTAAAACACCACCAGGTGAGCCAATTCTTTAGATCGATTGATCAAAAAAAAATTTCTTATGTTTGTAATTTCCAAACTTCCGCTAAAGGAGCACTTTTAATCCGACGAAGCGAGGCTTCGAAAAGCCCAAATAGACGAGCATCTTGTGCGCAAGAACCTTGGTCGAGCGGCAACCAACACGGACACGAGGTTAAAATATCAATGAGTTGTGAGAATTTTTGCCGTTAGCGGGAAACTACAGATACAGTTTCGAAATTAACGAGCCACCGACGACAACGACAACAACAACGAGTAAATAATAATGGCAGCCGACAACGGCAACGACTACGAGTACTTTCGATTACGGAGGCGGTAACAGCGACGACGGGGAAATGTCCACTGAACGCTGAATACTGCTGGACTGCTGATTGTTGATCAACTTGATTGTTGTGGATGCTGCGCTGCGACGCTTCTGCTCTGCTCTGCGTTCGTATCTCTAATTGATTGTGCCAACAATAGGAGCTTGATGCTGGGTTCTGTTGTTGTTTTCGTTATGCATATAATATGTATGCGTGTGTGTATGTAAGTTCTGCTTGACTGCACTTGTTGCGTTATTGTTGTTGCTTTTCTCAACTACAGTCTCAGCTGTTTGTGTGCATGTTCTCTTATCTGTTTGTTTTTTTTTTACTTTATTTTGAATACCGTGCGTCTCTCACTTTACGCGTTGTTGTTATCAATGCGCTCTACGAGTATTTCACTTCAACACTAGTGTGTTCTCACTCCCACGCACGTGTTGCGCACTTGACTTTTACGTTTCACTGTGAATGTCGCACAACAATAACAAATTCTTTTTCTGCCAAGGGAAAATTTTCCTCAATTTTTGTGTCGCGTTATATTTGCAATTGAATTGAATTCAATTCAATTCAATAAATGTGTTTTGTTTTGTATATTTATATATGACAGGCGTTCGGCTGTAGAAACACTAATGCCCACGCTGTCGCCGCTTTGAAGATTTCAATTGCTATTTTTTAAATGTATTTTTTGTTACGCGCCTCGATGACGTACTTTTGGCACGCACGTAATTAAACGAAGGAAAAAAGTTAAAGACTCAAAATCCTCTACAACGATAGCCGCAAATGTCTTTCTTTTCTAGATTGGCGTGGCCGCTCATTAAACTTTTGAAATTTGATAAACAAAAGTGCCGACGTGTTGTTGATGATGTTGTTTTTTTTGCTAGGCTGATATGTTGACCGTTTAAATAGATTGTTGTTTAGGTTTTAAACACCCGCGAGAACCCACTTGTGTGTTTTAGTCGATGGAACCAAACGTACTGATTTGGGGAGCAAACGTCATATGGAAATATAACGCGACCATGCCAGCTGACGCTTGGACTCTCTCACCGTTTTATACTAAAGAGATGGCGCTCTTTACTTGTACAAACCAGCACATACACATACATACATACATACATACACATATCTATACATGTATGTAAGTAGTTGGGATGCAATAAAAAGATTAATATTATTATTAAATGCCACGATCTTTTGGGTAAATCTCTAAATACACTAATTTAATTGTTTATTTGGACAAAAAATATAGGCCAGCGACATATTTAGGTAAATCTGTTCAATAATCAATAATTTGAACAAAAACCGACAAACCGACCTACCAAAAATATACGAATTCCTAAAAAGAATGTTACTAAATTACAATAATAGTTAAGATCCCGCAACTGAACTTTAATTGTTTCAGATTTTATCTAACTGCTTTTTACTGATACATTATGGTAATACTGCAGTTTGAATTTTCTCAGTTCCTACTCACACTAACATGTGGTCAGAGATTTCCCCGGAGATAGTTATTATATACTTATTATAATTAGAAAGATAGAAGGATGAAAATTCTGTTTAGAATAGATAACTCATTATATTCCGAACAAAACACCCGAAAACAATTGTGCAAATCGAAATTCTTGTAGCTTGAAGTGCTTTTGAAAGTTACATTTTTTGAATCACACCTCAAACATAAAAATTTATGAAAATATGAAGTATAAGATATTTTATATGTATAGACGGGCAGACAGAGAAATAGATAAATACGTACTTTGTGGGCTCTATCACGCCTCCTGTGTGTTACATACTTGTATATTTTCACTAAACTAATATACTGTTTGCGTACTACAGGGTAATACAATAAACTATGGAATAGTTGTTGCTGTTGACTTCTAGTCGCAGCGCTTAAGAGCAATAATATTAATAATGACTAAATAAGAGTCTGCCGCTGCACCTGTGCGATGGTTGTGAGCGCAAGCGTGGGAGCATTGACGTTGTCGCCGCTGCTCAGAGCGGAACAACGAATTCTACATACTTATAAAAATATTAATACTTATAAACATACGCATATATACTATGTACAAGTATGTATGTAAGTCTATACTACATATGTATGTATCATAAAATACAATTTCTTTAGGCCAATTGCTGGGTGAACTGGGTTCTTTAGATTTGGTCAGTGTGGCAAAGAAGGAGCGACGCTTTTCACATCGACAAATGGCATCGGTGAAGGCTGTTTGGGACACGCTCCAAAGCGTAGAGGGTTTGAAACGCTGCCTCTATGAAAATTCATTCTTTGATTCCCTCATAAAAAATGTGTGCCAATTAATGTCGCCTGAAAATACATTTTACATACACACGTACATACTTAGTACATACATAAGTATATGCATGTGCATACATACACATATGTACATATATATATGTATATAAAACACACATTGAAGTGCCAAATTCTCTTTTTATGCATTCAAGAAATTTACATTATTTATAACCTGATTTCAATTTTTTAAACATTGTTCATTCATTAAATGCGGATTGAACATATCTTATTGCAAAAAAGAGTTATTTGAAAAAGTAGACAAAATATCGAGCAGATTATATTCTCAATTCACAAATTTTTTCTTAAGGTTAGTTTTGTAAGTCATGTGGAATGGTTTCAATTGAAACAAATGCTCGCGAATTAAATACATATTTCTCAATTGTTTGTAAATTGCCATCAATAATTGGCAAGGTTTAAAGTGAAATTAATTAATTGTATACAAGGAAAGTCAAAGACGCAATATATTCGCCATTGTTCGCATTGTTCGCCGTAAATGGTCCAAATAATTATTTTCAAAATAACAGAACTGTTTAACGCCTTAACTGTTAGTTGTTGTTTCTTTTAATGGTGACATCAACAGCTTCTGGGTCTCCAATTAGCGTATTAATTGTTGTTGTCGTCTAAATTCTCTTTTGTAGTTGCTAATTTTTTATTGTTAGCAAGTTCATTTTATATCCATTGATCCGTTTATTAGTTATCAAAAAACACAACCGTTCAAAAAATGCGTGCACGTGTTGATACGAGAGTGAATGAAATTTTAAAAAAGGTGTAAATTTTGAGGCTTATGCCGAAAACAAGTAAAGAGGCAGGTAGAGCTCATCGGAGCAATAGGCCAGTGAACAAATTCATACACGTGTGAATGCTATTCATGTTAATTATAAAACTGTGACGATGTTTACATAATATTGTAATGGGTCAAGACCTATTAGTATTAGCATTTTATACTGTATTTGGCAATATTTTTTATATTTAAATTCAAAAGCTGTACGCGCTCAAACGTCTTTCAACACTGCTGACGCTGCCAGACTGCTGTTTTTCCAAGCGATAACATATCGATAGCAATGATGTTTGCATTTATATTCCCAAACAAAACACAAACGCAGCAATTTGGATTGCAATAAATATAATGGACTTGTCGCCCATTAATCAGATAGAGGATCGAAAACCTATATTGACAGCTGACGGCCTTGCGCAAACATCAAATTCGCCTTTCGAGCCCACCACTGTCTCACAGGAGACGCAAACATCGAACGGCATAGGCGGCAGTCATTTGACAGTAGAACAGCTCGACATCGAAATATTGCCCATCATATACGACATAGTGCGCTGGTATGTGTGTACGTGGGTGTCTGTCCGGCAGTCTTAATTCTTCGGTTGGCAAATACATTATTTTTCGAGCAGTGACAATATATATTTGGCTTACATGCATACATGTTTTTCGTCAACTGATTTTGCGCAATATAAAATATTTTTTTCGACTACTTATATAACCATTTTTTTTAAACCACAGCATCGAAAAGGACCCGCTCGAGAACTCGGTAAAGCTACGTGAATCTCAGGACTGTAACCATAAGGTAGCCATTAAAGGTTCTTTTGTCATTTCGATATATTATATATGCCATTTAAAACTTTTATGCAGATCTTTGAGCTGCAGAAACGCTTGGAGTCGGCGCGGGAGCAGATCAAACAGCTCCCCGGCATTGACTACAACAAGGAGGAGCAACTGCAGCGTCTCGAGCTGCTGCGCAATCAACTGAAGCTAAAGCAGCAGCTTATACGGAAGTATAGGAATAAAGAGTTCTAACATCCAGCCACCCCGTCAACACCAACATGATCCTACGATTACTGATGCGCTATTTGGCCAATAACGAGCAGCTGATTCAGCGAATGGCAGATAGTTACCCAATGAGACGGGCCGCCCAGTTAGTCGTATCCTTGATGTATCGCACGAAAAGCATAGCGCGGGAACAGGGCGTGCACGAGATGACACCGGAGCGATTCAAGTAAGTAACTACATCATCGTTTTACGTAAAAATTTCAAAGACATTTTTTTCACTTTTACAGAGCTTTCATGAATCTATTTAAGAACAACGTGCGGCAGGAGATCGAGGGTTTGAAGAAAGAAATCAAAAACAAAAAGGGCAACTGAATGAACATTTTGTAAATAAATAGCTCACTAAATTTTAGTAAATTATGCACACTCCATAGAGTTTACATTATTTGATTAGCTTATCAATAAACACTTCAAAATTTTCGCATGTATTCACGCAAAGTTAATTTCTCTTTTGAAAATGATTTAAGATTTAATGGTCTATACTAACTTATTTGCTTAGCCAAAAGAATTCGCAGAAATGCTCTTTGCAAGCTATAATTCAAGGAATTATTGGAATATTTATAATCTGTCCGCTCACCGATCATCAAATTCTCTTTTCACTATTATTGGGATTTTTTAGTCTTCAAAAATACTATTATAAGAGATGTATTGAAATGCAACATTTCCACCTCCCAAGATCAGTTTTAGCGAAACAACAGTTTCTTTTTTTTAAATTAATAAGTTTCTTAAACGTGTTCTTTAATAAAGAATTTCCATACTTCAAAAATATGTAATAACGCAATAGCTTAGCATAAATAGAATTTTGTGTTTATGTCTATAAACTAGAAAAAAGAAAGCAAAAAAAAAAGCAACACAAAATTGGTAGTGCAGTTAAAACAATTGAAATTCGTTTTGGTATTTTTTCCATTAAATGTCATTTGTTTGTACAACTCATTAAGTATATGGGGGACGAAATACGAAACAGTTTATTATCAAACATTTTACACGAATTATCGGATCAATTATGGTTTCAAATTTTCCGGTTGATTTTGTCTGTTCGAAAGTTTTGTTGTAGCAAAATAGATGAGTTTACCGACCTTGGCCTATAACTAGAAAAATAAAACGAGCAATTTACAAACGTAGGACGCCCTTAGATCTTAGCTATGAAAATTTTAGATACATACATATGTATCTTTAGATATTTAGAAATTTTGAATGCAACTACTTTTATAGGAGGCCTGAAAATCGTGATTTATTCAGAATATTAGTAATGCAAGAAATGGTTTGAGCATTTAATTGAGAAGTCCAGATGAAGCTACTCAGAATTGGGATTGGTGATTTAGTGGACATACATCACGATTCCTATTCACGATTTACAGGCTACGTATAAATGTGGTTCAAGATATTGTTGATGCTGTGTTTTACACATTAGTTTTGCGGTTGTTGGACTGACGCAGCACTGACGATGGCATTGGCTTCGGGCGGAGTGGCAGCAGTCGCTCCATTGCTTGGTTGCTGGCTGCAGGAGGCAGAAGAGCTGGAAGCAGCATGTTGGGCCCGATTGTTGCGCTTGCGTTTGCCGCCGCGTCGACTGCCCTCACGCTTCTCTCCGTTCTGCTGCGCCGCGCCATCCTCGCCAGCATCACCCTTGTGGCTGCAGCCTTGACCACTTGCATTTCCTCGATGCTGATTGTTGCTACCATTGCTACCGCCGTTCTGGCCACGCGACTGCATCTTTGCTGGCTTGGGGCGATAGGGCGAGGCTGCCGCATTGGGCATTGGACGTAGTATGTTTCCCACCGCCTTAGTGCGTCCTTCGCGAAAGACGAGACGCTGGCCGGCACGTATATATTCTGGCTGCTTGATAAAGCGGAACTTAACGTGCGCTTTGTCACCTGTGCGCAGACAATCACGCGACATATGGATGATGGAGGCTGTCTGTCTGATGCTGCCGCAGTGCACCATGGCCTGGTAGCGGGCTGAGATCGTTGTGGGATGATGCAGCACTAGGATTTCGCCCTCAAACTCCCAGCAGGCTTGCGGTTTAAGATCCGGCGATACCATCACCATGCCTTTTCGCAAGTAGGTGCGCTTAACCTTTTTGAGCGCAAAGCTGGCGGTTTGGCCACAACGCACGCGTGCTACATTCATGCGTTTGCGATGAATGCTTTTCACTGTGATGGGTATGAAGGCGCCTATTGGGTCCGGGCCAAGCATAAGCGTATCGTTCAGCTTAATGGTGCCCTGCAGGCAGGTGCCTGAGACGACTGTTCCAACGCCAGGTACGGAATAGACATCGTCTATTTGAAATTCAGCCGGCAGGTTCTCGGAGCCGGCCATGCGTGTGCTCAGCAGATTAAGGAACATTTTCAAGAGCTCCAGATTATTGCCCGTCACATTCGACACCTGGAAGATGGGACAAAGGCGTTCCGACACAAAGTTCGTGGCGCTAAGCACGACATCGTCATAGGAACGCACAACGACGGGCACTTTTCGACACCCCTGGGATTTAAGCATTCTAAAAAGCAACCTCATGTTGTCCTGCAACACATTTGGCGGACACATATCAATTTTGGTGACGACTACAAAAACGGGCACAGCCAGAGCCAACGCAAGGCCTAAGTGCTCCTTGGTCATACCCACAATGCCTGCATTGGCGCCAATCTGTAATGGAGTTGAAGAAATAAGTGGACTAGCTCTAAGAGATTGGGATGAAGTCATACCATCAACATGCCGAAATCCGGTGCATGACCCGTCATGCCAAAAACTGTGGTTTTCAGGTAGCGCTCGTGACCAGCCAGGTCAATGAAAGTGATCACCTTGGAGGATTTTTCACAGATCTTGACCCAATCGAGATGACCGTGATCGGGCTTGTTCACCACATTGCCCACGCCATCGAAGCCCAGTATGTCGTTGCCCACTGAGCTGGTGCGTCCGCTTTCAATCTCGTGTTTGTGTCGGAACAGACGCTGCCGCGCATGGCCGCGTCCATTGTCCAACTCACCATGGGTCAGCACGCCTAGCAGCGTTGACTTGCCTGCGTCCACATTTCCCACCACAGCTACTCTACAATGCCGATAGATGAGAACATCTGAGGATATCAAATTGCTCCAATAACCTACCGTATTTCCATAAAATCGGTTGTTTCAATGTGCTTCCGTATGAGGAATTGTGCGGTGTTGCCCTTCTCGCCCTTACGCTCTCGCAGCTTAACCATGTCCGCGTTCACCAGATTGGCCAACTGTTCCAGCGTCTGAACCGAGGCAGCGAACTGCTCCACATCCAAACCATTGTCGCTGCCATCTGAAGCGGATCGTTATGATATCAAGCGACCATATATTTTGATTCACACTTACCCTCGCCCACTCCAATCTCATAGATTGTCTCACCGCAATTGTCTGCAATGCGGTCTACCAGTCTTTTCTTCAATAGCTCCATCTGTGCCTCTGTCGGCCGCACCAGCACGTCTTTGCTGCGTATGCTCGAGTAATCGACCATAAGGCCCTGCATTTGCGTCGGGAGTCCGTCTACATTAAATATATTGCTCCGTGCTCCCTTAATGCCCACCCCATGGCCCACGGTCTGACCAATACCTATTCCATTGCTGGTCGGAGGCATGACACTGACGGCCTTAACAGGCACACTCTGCATATTGTTCATTGTGTCAGCAGGCGTTCTAATTTTGTAGCTACTTGTTTAATGCACAACCTGTTATAGTATCCTTGGAATCATCGCCCTCCTTCGCTTCTGTCTGTTCTCTGTGGATCAAGAAGTGTACATGTATAAAATCACACTAAAATCAAAGTTCTTCTATTCTTAAAAATCGCAATCGAGATCTGAGCTGTATGTGCTTTGATTGCATTTCGCTTTTGTCATGGCAGGCCATTCGGAAACTCCCTGACTCTTCTCAATAGCTGCATGATGAAATAATTGCATGCTAAAAGTCATGTGGGACGTGGTATGAGAGACCGAGAGAGAGAGAGAATATACCGCGCATTAATTTCATAAGAAACCGAAATTTTGACCACCACATCGGGATTCATTGCACATATAGCGGAAGCTGAAGAGTTATATAGGCCGTTAATGCAGGCGATATTTTGTGCACTTAAAAACGATGTTGTAGATTTACTTCCGCAAATTTGTGCATTTCTGTCCACATGCTGATATGAGGGCTTCGCATATCTTATCACCGACTTGGCATAGGTTTTAAAAGCTTTATGTAACGTGTACAAGTTTATTGTTGACGTAAACAAAACGTAGCTAGCTTGCCAATTGTTTGTTTTTGTTTATATTTTATGGCAGTTCAACAAATTCACAGTTTATTTTTAGCGCGAAGCGAACAGCGAAAATGAGTGCAAAACAAAATTGCAAAATATCTTGCAAACAAAACAAATTTACATACGCATGTACATAATACAAGCATACATATATACATATTCTACGTTGCTGTTTTGCTATGCTGGCTATGCTACGCTGGTGCAATCACAGGTGTTGATGCTCATTAAATAACAAATTGCATCTCTAAACGTTAAACGTCGCATACACAGCGGCCCAGGAGATGGGGGAGTCCAATTAAAAGTGAAAGGGATGTTAATGTATTTGGCAAGACTCCTGTTGCAGCAGCGCGGATAAAAAGTTGTATTTCCGCGTTTTGAACTGTGTACAACATCTTCACTTACAGTTCATTAAACGGTCTGTTTAGTGGTCTTCAAGCACTTTGCAAATTGAATCTGTTTCGACGCGTTTACTAATGCAATTTTAGCAAGATATTGCCTCTTTTTGGTCTGTCCAAGCCACGTACATTTTAGGATTGTTGATATCTTATCGATACATCGATACACAATTCAAAAATCGTGGCAGTGTCTACATTATTGGATCAGTCGATAGCAATTAAGTAATCGAGTAGCCGCTAAAATTTGATTTTTAATATGGTTAAAAAAGTTCCATCACATTTCAGTAAATTTTTGTGAACACAAGTCTGTTCACACATATTGCACTAAGTTTAATGGAGATATTTTTCCGCTACGACAGCTGTTGATAAACCGCAACTTATAAGAAATTATAAGCTTTTGACACACACACAAGTATCACATTTCAATTAGTCATTGTAGGTACATATATGCATTTCAGTAAATAATCCAATTAAAATACATTGTTCATGCTTCAACATTTAGTTTCTTTAATCCTTTCATTTCTGGAAAAAAATAGAACTGCGATCGACACACTCAGGCCCAAAATTGAATATCGTCAACATGTTGTTGCCGCGTGCTCCACCTAACCCCCCACATAAAAAACCGTTGCTTATATCTCGAACAACACATAAATACATACTTATACAAATACGTATGTATGTATACAAAAAACAATTTGTTGCCAGCTGCGCGTCTACACAAGTGTGTGTGTGTGTGGGCCGGCGGCAAGGGGTTATGCAAGTCAAGTTAGAAATAAATCCGACTAGACAGTGTATTTTCACAGTTTATTTAATGTATGATAGTCTAAAAAATAGTTTACAAATTATGAAAAATGTTTTTAACAATTTTGGTACGAATTTTGTTTTTGCTTTGCTTATATCATCCAAATGTTGTTCTATGAGTTGCTGTTGTTGTTGCACAAATCAAAGTTCGATTACTCTGTTTACATTTGTTGTTGGATCAGCATAGTCTGGCCAAAGGAAGGAGAGGGTGTGGGTACAGTTGTTGTTGTTGGGAAAGCTAAAATAAACTGTTTTTCCAAAAAAAACTAAGAATTCTGGAAAGCAGGCATACATACATACGTAATGCTTATGCTAAAAATATAGCTAAAACTTCTCTACTCTCCCGCTGGCAATGACTTTCCTGGAGTGTTTCGTCGTTTCTTTGAAATTCATAAATGTTGTAAATAAACTTGTAACTTTTTAAATGTGTGTCGTCTGTCTGTGGGAGGCAAAATAAAAGTGCGGCATATGAATGTGTGTGTTTGTGTTTTGTGTAGTGGAAACGTGCTTTAATCGCTTTGGAAATACATTTTTAGTTGTACATATTTGTTTTTTTTTGCTTCGCTTATGCGCGCTTCGCACTATTTCTAATAGATTTTTGTTGAAGAGTTCCCTTATTAATATAATTATTATATTTTACGTGTTCTGTTCAGCTCACTTGGATGCCTTTATTTTGTGGTAATTGTAGTTTAATGACCCCCTCTTAGAACGAAAGGAGCACTACATCTCGATTATCAGCAATTGTCGTTGGGTGAACATGCCGGTTGATCGTTGAGCGGCTCCTTTCGGTTCTGTCTGTATGTTTTTTTATGTGTTATGTGTGTCACCCCCTTAGGCTGAGGCTGCAACCTCGCCAGCTTTCTTATCGGCGGTACTATCAGGCGCTACAGCGGCTGCAGCTACCTTGGCTCCAGCGATGGCCACTTCTTCAAAGTTCTCGACTAAATCGGGAACATCGTCGTCACCAGCGTCCAAGCCGGCGCCAGCAACACCACCGGCTGCAGCACTCTTGTTGGCAATCTCCGAAGCAATCTTTTTTAGCTGATTGATGTCCTGGGGTCCTAACTGTGTCAGAATGCCGGGGAGCATTTCTGAGATCGTCCTGTTCTCACCATGACCGGTAATGGCGAACGTGTTAGTCGGCAAAGAAGCTTGCGCCTTTGGATTGTTGAAGTGAATGACGGTGCCGTCATTTTTAATGATGTTCACTTCCTCAATGCCGGGAATGGTGTTTACCGACAGTTTTTTCAAAGATGACTGCAGCTTCTTGTCATCGGTAGCAGGGGTCGAGTGTACAATCTTCTTCTTGCGGCGAGGAGTGCCCTTGCCGCCAATGCGCACCTGCGCTTGTAACTTCTTAAGTTTCTCTGGATTCATCTGTAAAACACACGCGCGCACAAACACGCAATTACGCAATATTAATAAAGGCCGTTATGTTGCGCACGATGTAAAATAATGTAATTTACTTTGATTTTACTCTAATTTAGCAAAGAGTGGAGCCCGAAAAACACGTGCGCCCAGGTCGTAGTGAAATGTCAAAAAGAAATCGCCATGATAAAAATGGCAAGGCTGTATGTATATGTGAGTAGTACTTCTAAGCAACACTAAATTCAGTGCAGCACACCGATATGGTTAAAAATACCTCAAATACAGCTTTGTGACTTATTTAAATGAATGCTGCCTGCGGTTTCCCACAATTATAAAATAAATTCGTTTATTTTACTTACAATTAATGCTGTTTAAATGTCAAAAGTATGGTTGCTTTACAATCGATAGATAGCAGATGTCACTTTCTACAGGCACAGCTGTATTAGTGTCCATTAACACACGTTACGACCAGGGCTACTAAATTTCACCCGTTGTCCGTCAATTTGGGGTTAGTGAAATTCCATTAAACATATTTGATATTGCTGCATGAGTCAAGAATGTAGTATTTTAAGACGTTTTTTTTTAAATAATAACTGCCTCAAGCCCTTAAATAATATGTTTAATTTGCATCAAGGTGTCGTTACAAAATTATAATATATAGGTTGAAAATTGAAATTTTTTCGACAGTGTATTTAAAAACGTAAAATTAATTAGAAGGTGCGTTCATTTGGGATTTGCAAATCCTTGTACATTTTCACTCACTCTAGTACTAATTATTTATCGATATACCGATGACAATACATATTTAGTTTGTTCCTATGTGTTGTTACTTGGTGACAAAGTAACACATGTCGTTATAAAAATAACAGCTGATAAATATCAACCCTGCCTTCCAGCTGCGAATCACAGTACAAGGCAAAACATAGAGGTGTTAAGATAAGGACGCTTAAGATAAGATTAATATTATCGCGTATATACTATTAGAATTTAGTTAAGCGCATTGCCTGACAGTTATCCGTGCGCCCAGATTTGTGTAAATTTGCAATTTTAAGCAACCGTTATTGGCTTTTCATAAAATCAAACGCAGAGCGTTCACCGCAACAAGTGGAAACCCCATAAAATATTAAGGAATTCCAACAATTGCCTTTGTTGTCAACTACGTCAGAGAACGGCAATATCAATAGACCGGAGCGACATCAGAGTTGAGCACAAAACGTAATTGAGAGTGAGGTTATTTGATTTTACTGCAAAAGTTAAATTCGTTTTATTTTTGATTCATTACAGTGGATTCCATTGACGAATTTGCCATGGACTTTTGGAGCATATTCGTTTTCTTCCTACTGACATTCCTCATAATGAGCTGCTGTGGCTATTGCTGCACGAGCAAACGTCGCGGAACCGTTCTCTCAAGTAAGTATACAGACATACGCATGTGTATACCCATTACATATGTAAATATAATCAAACCCCACACTCTGCCCATGACTCATTCGAGACAGGCTGATAACAGCATCTCTATAATTTGCATAAGCAATTTAAATTGATAAATAATCACAAAACACGCATCCGGCTCTAGGCAAGGTCTTATTTACTTTTTCTCCAACTGAATTGCTAGGTGCTATTAGTTAATAACTGTTTATTGTACTCCGTTGATAATTGTTTGTCATCTGGTGTCAACGAATTGTTGTTCATTGCCCTTTCGATACGTTTGTTTAGATTTGTGGTACCATTGCACTTGATTTTGCGGTAACTGGTGCGGTCGACTTTCAATTAAATATTATTTTTATAGATATTTTATCAAACAGCCTGTGACTAATACTCATGTCGTAATTAACGCGTGTGTGTTTCTTATCATTGTCACATTGGATGACACTTGTCTGGTATTTTTTGGCTGCTCAACTCAATAAAGTAGATAACAAATTTAAATATGTGTATGTGCATGTTATAGATAAATCAAACTAGACTCTACAATTTTAACGTTATTCAGTCCAACTTTTCGATTCATCGTTAAATAACGTGAAATAAGGCCCGAGTTTAGGTGCTGACACGATCATTTCCTTACAAAATGTATTTATACGTTGACATATGGTGTCCTATACTAGTTGTCGTGGTTGCCTTTATTATTATATTTGCTATATTCTTGCGGCGCGCGCAACTGAGGCGCATGCATAGAGCTACAGTGGTTACCAATGGTGAGAAAAAAGTTGAATTAGATGCCGGAAATTTGAAAAATAAAATAAAAGAAAATCTAATCGCGTTTGTATATGTTCAAGTGTCACACATTGAGTATTTAAAAAACAATAAAAATTGACAAGAAATTAAAATAATTTGGCACAAATGACAGGTTTAGTTTTATCTACAAACAAACTGTGGTCGACCGCTTTGACGTCAAATATCAGCCTTTTGGAGCGTGCATGTGCCCGTCCTATTCGTACGATATGCTGAAAGAAAAACAATGTTGCATAGCCCGAAAAATATAAATTAAATGTGTATATATTTGTATACACATATTAATATTTGTTGTCCCTTAAGACAAAAGTATTTATCGGCTTTAAGTCAGAGATAGAGTGGCTTCTGTTTAATAGCTGACCCATCCACGGCTCATCAGATCCGAAATACGAGTACACACCCTCCTGGAAATTTATGTACGTTTATAAGTAAAATGATATTTCTGACGTCAATAGACGTTTTGTTATGGATCCACTCCAAGCAAGATTATCAGACTCGATACCAGTCTGCACATATTGTAGAATTCCCCTCGGGCCTCAAGCGAATAATTTCAACCTAAATAAATTACCATTGTTTTCACATTCATTGACGCAATAGTCCATTATAAATTATGCCACTTAATGTGGCAGATTTTGTACTTCTTTATTGGTATACATGCGTAGTAAATGTTTCGCCCTTGCAATTCCTATTAGTGTGTAGTAAGCTTGATCATATTGAGCGCTGATATCATATAAGTACGTACATATGTATACACATATAGCCGTTTTGCACACAAAAATGATACCAATATTCGTTGTACTGGCTTATCTTATCTCTTTATATTTGTGATTGTCTAAACACGCTTTTCCTAAAGCGTTTTTATTTGGTCTAAATACGTTCTTCAAACATTTCAAAAGCCCAAAACCTTCATGTGCGAGCCTTATTAAAAGTTGGGCATTCACAGAATGAGCTTCGCGTAGTACAAGTCTAAAAAATCTGCAAATTCCAAAGTGATTAAAAAACTTTAGTTTATAAATGTAACGCAGAGATTCTAATAGTTCTATAAATTATTTATTAAATAAATTTAACTTGAGAGCATTAAACAAAATGCCACACCAAGCCGGCGACAAGGACTTGACAATATCAACCATTATATTGTGTGTCATATTCGTAATTGTGCTTTGTGGAATACTTACCATCGTTATAAGAACCAAAATCAGGAAGCGCAAGGAGCAACACGATGGAGTGTTCGACCAGAGTTAGTATGGTTCCATCCCTCAAAAAAGACTCAACGATATCATGACCGTTCCACGAATTTAAGATTATGGTGAAATAGTAGCTAAATGAGTATTATATATCCAGACCTTTGAACCTTGTATTGTTATAAATAATTAAATATTGAAAAACTTCATTTTTTAATGCGGGTGCAGGGTATTTAAATGTGGAAAAGCATTGGATGCATATTGATGCAACTACCACGTTATTATCGTTCTAATACTACCAATGCAAAACTTTTTTCAATAAATATATATATATAAATATATAATATTGGTCCGCAAAACGGGAAAAATGTTCGCTTCCAGAACGGTCATAAATTTTAATGTGAACGTAAACAAGAGAGAACGCTACAGAGCAAGACCGACAGTGTAATAACCTGTACCCAGGTAAACTTCCGTCACTGAGTTATATGCGCCCATAGCAGCAGCAAAAAGAGGAAGAAGAAGGGCGAACTTGTTGCTGCAGTTTGGGGGGGTTGTACTGGCGAGAATTTGTTTTGCTAAGAACTTTATTTAGAATTGAGCGAATTGAATAAAATTTTGAACAACAGTAGACAATTAAATATAAAAAATATGTGTGCAAAGTTTGGTTTAGGTAGCATTTGAAATGTGGACGCTATTGACGAAATTCTGTAGCGGGGGAAGGGGGGGAAAATTAAAAAAAATAAAATAAACTCGTCCTTACTCGGACCTAGGAGAATCTGGATGCCAACTTCGGTTATTCTAGCTTATTTATAGTTTCTGAGATCCTCGCGTTCATCCAGACGGACGGACGGACATGTCTAGATCGATTTCTCTCGTCATGCTGATCAAGAATATATATACTTTATGGGGTCGGAGATGCTTCCTTCTGTATGTTACATACTTTGTACAAACCTAATATACCCTTTTTACCCTACGGGTACAGGGTATAAAAAGGGGAATATCTTATAAATCATTGATTTTTTTCCTAAAACCAATTTTCTTAGAACCTTTGATACCAATTTGTTCAGTTGCAATACCTACAAAATGTTTAGATAAAAACATTGCGCCATTAGTACCAATAATTCAGCCCTCTAGTTCACAAAAATGCATTGAAAGTTGGGGTAGTCCGAGAAATACCCGATCTAACAACGAATTCACAAAAATTGGGGATAAATTTTCTTATTTCTCTACATAGTCCCCTTTTACCTCGATACTCCTTTCCCAGCAATGTTCAATAGTTTCGGTCTCAGGTGTGAATTGACAGACCTTTGAATATGCATGATGATTATTATAATTATTATAGTTCTTCCAATTAAATATAATGGTGACTCAAGTCAGATGCTAGCTTTAATTTTTATACCCTGTACCCCAAGGGTATATTAGTTTTGTGCGAGTGTACATGTAACAGGAGGCGTGGCAGACCCTACAAAGTATATATATTCTTGATCAAGATGACAAGCCGAGTCGATATAGCCATGTCCGTCTGTCTGTCTGTATGAATGCAAGGATCTCTGAAAGTACAAGTATAAGAGCTAGAATAACCAAACTTGGTATCCAGATTCTCCTACGCACGAGAAAGGGAAAGTTTGTTAATTTTTCCCGATGCACCCCCCCACTTCCCCGCTATTCGCGATTTTCTATAACTCCCGTTATTCTTGGAATTTTAAACTAAAATTTGGTAGTCACATCCAGTTAAAGATTATATATTTATTATGATAGGTTGATTAGAAAGAAAGTTATAGCCTGTATTTGTTGCTGCTTTGGCATAATTAATTCTTCTTATTGTTTGAATATAGAATTTTGAATTTGAAAAATATATGTTCATCACTAAACTGAAATGTCTAGATATGAACTTTTCCATATAGTTTTGCCTGACTAAGAAAAAAAAATGTAGTTATGTTTTGATATCGTTTGTCACTTGCTTTCGGTTTGTAGCCCCGTTTTCTTCAGTTGTTAAGTTACCATTGTCGCGGTGCAATGTGTTGATAAAATTATCGGGAGTCCGACAGTGCTTTCAACTTATTGCTATGGACTTGTCATCTATATACGTACTGCTGGGTCTCTTTTGCCTAATGATGCTCCTAATTGTTTTGATTCACTGTCGGTTCTCGTTTATTGAACTGCGTAATAATATAATAGGTTGGTAGAAATGTGAGCGCATTTTAGATTTATACAAGTATTCAAATACTAGTTCCAAAATATTACTTTCGTTAATTGCCACAAAAAGTTATCAAAACCGCATACAAACAAATTCGTTTTAAAATAATTCAATTACTAATACATATTTTTATTAAAGTTAAAGGTATGTGTATGTGCGGAAAAAATAAAACTGAAGCTCGAATAAACAGATTTTAAAGAATTACAATTAGAATAACCGATTACAATTATATTCAAATAGAAGTAGATGAATATATAACAAACAAATAATATATGTTTATGTTACGGCCACAATTGTTTTAAAATATTTAAAAACGTGTGAGTCATAAAGAGTGAACACAATAATATAACCCTTCTAATCCATTTTAATAAACGATTGCATGAAGTATTTCGAAGTTATTCGTTAACTTACCTTTCAATTATTTACATCAATAAGTTTTAAGGTTGATAGGGCAGGGATCGCCATAAATATATATATATATATGCATATATATTATAGCATATACTTTATGTATAGTGCTCCATTTATTGGGATGTTTTTTTTCTGTGTTCCAATTTTAAAATTGTGAACTTAAACAACGAATAAATAAAAGTAACTCAAAATTGCCACAACACTCATAGATAAAAAGGTACTTCAATATGGAATTGTTGTTTTATTTCAACATTCAATAGTTGATAGCATATTCGAAAACACAAAAGTTGGCAGCAAGGGTGCTCGGTTTTCCTTTTCTTCTTCTTAGAAATAGGTGGCCAGCACAATAAGGTCTGTCCTTCGGTATACTATTTCTAGGAATGCCAAGAAAG